AAGCCGGTGCTTCTGACTCGGAGCTGCACTGCGCCTCGAAGGAAGGCAAGTGCCTGGAAGGGTTGTCCATTTCAGGACCCTGGGCACAACATGCACCTGGAAGTGAAGGTTAACGCATGTCTTTGGCTTGGAGGCCTTCCTTCCTCCCTTCCTTCTTTCCTTCCTTCCTTTTTTCCTCCCGTCCTTCCTTCCTTCCTTCCTTCCTTCCTTCCTTCCTTCCCTCCTTCCCTCCTTCCCTCCTTCCCTCCTTCCCTCCTTCCCTCCTTCCCTCCTTTCCTCCTTCCCTCCTTCCCTCCTTCCCTCCTTCCCTCCTTCCCTCCTTCCCTTCTTCCCTCCTTCCCTCCTTCTCTTCTTCCCTCCTTCCCTCCTTCCCTTCTTCCCTCCTGCCCTCCTTCCTTCAACCTTTACCCTTCTTCCTGCCCTCCTTCCTTTTGTAGCGCCCCTAGAAGCAAGGTGCCCATCTAGAATCACACTTGGCAGGGCAAAACGCACTTCGGAAGGCCCCGCTGAAATCCCAACCTGCTTTGGAGTCGTTCGGGGAACAGTTTGGCAACCGTGCACCGCTTATAGAGAGTTGCCTACGACCAGCGTCATAAGTAGTACAATTGGCGTCAGGTCAAAACTTACTTACAAAGCAGGCTGAACATCCAAGCAAGGTGAAAGTAGATGGCACCATGTCCTTTACGTCCGGAAGTAGTGAGGTTGATCGCACTGAAAAGAGGAGGTTGTGCCATCTATTTTCATGCAACTGTACTTGAGTTGTTGGTTGCTGCTCCCTGAATAACCATGAGTGACAAGCATGCGAGTCGTATCCTGCACCAGCCGAGGTGTACAAAAAGAAGCTCCCAGAGGTTCTGGAGATTGAGCCTTGGCACATGACTTTTTTTAAACGCCTCCTCTCTTTCCCCCTCCCCCATGCACGGACCATACTGTACTATGGAAGGTGACCCAAGCAGCAGGTTTCTGTCGGGCTCCTCTCTAAACCGGCACTAGGGTGTTCTAGCCGCCTCCACTTTAAATTTGATTTTGGGCGTGTGCAACGTGTCCAGGAAAATGCTAACTGTCGATGTTCCACCCTCGCAACACACATGCAACAAAGTGCACATTTTCCTACGGCAAGACTGCAAGGGAGCCTGTGCACGTCCATGGTGATTGGTGGGAGGGTAACGCCTTGCAGTGATATTGTTCCCTTTCAGAACAATGATGAAGCTCAAGGATTCCTGATAGTCATCCGCCTGGGTTCATTTGAAGCGGACATCATCCTGATTGCATTTCAGAGGCAGGACAACACCAGCGAGGAAAGCAGGATGCTACACATCCATTTAAATAAATTCCTCTATGCCAGTCGATGTGCTCTTATCAGTCTAAGGACCAGTGATGCATTTTAGGGTTCAGTTCATTTTGGACCCCCCCATCGACCAAGAGCCACCCTGTTGTTGGACGACCGTTTTGCAGTGCTTCATCATTCGTACAAGTTGGCGACCAGCGCGTGGAATCTGTTCGGACAGGATTTCGATGTGCGGTGGTGGAACTATCCCACGCGCGTGGCCATGGTGAATTACCACACGCGGGCGCGGGACGCAGAGGTCGAGATCGGGTACCTCTTGGAGGGAAAGGCCCGCTTTTGGAGAAAGCATGGCTCTAGGTGGCCACTTTGTCAGGGAAGTGCCTTCAAAGCGGGCATGCCGCTGGCCCAGGTTGGTATTAAAGAAAGGGTAGGGGTGTTGCGTTTTCTTGTAGGGCCCCAATCTCTCCTTAAAAATCCCCCAAGGTATGCCAAAGATGGCCCTTTTTACACACCTTCTTGACTTGGGCACATATCATGGCCCCCCAACCATGACCCCCCAAACATGTAGTATATCTTGGGGAATGCGAAAATTGCTCAAAGGCAAAAGGTCAATGGAAGAGGTCTGTGGAGGTGAGCCATGCTTTTGGCGCTGTGTGGTGTGTTGGTCCTCGTCCATCACCTCCAACATGCTTGCCCGTTCTTTCGAAGGAACCGGGATTCCTCTGAGCTCCGGTTGTTTGCTTGACTTCTTTCACTTGGTCACTCCGCAAAAAGTTCGCCCTTGGGGACTTTCCGAACCAGTGTTTCATTCTTGTTTCGTCCTTGGCAATATTGTCCACCCGAATTGGGGAAGCAAGACGGCCCCTTGATTCCCGTTTCGTGGGGGATCGACTGATGAAACCTAAGAGCCGGCACGGATCACGGGGGGGGAGGAGGGTCGGGGCGTCAGAATTCTTTGGGCTTTGCAGGAGGACGCCGAACTGCCAGAGCAGCTGCTTGGCCCGAGATCTTTGTATCTAAAAGGCGGCTTGATTTGGGTTGTGCCCCCCTGATGATTAAGGCGCTTGTAGCAGCTCCAAGCGCATTTTCGCGATACGAGAAACAAACATAAACCCGCGAAGGTTCAGCTTTGAGCTTTTTGGGGTCCATCTTTGGATCGGTCCTCTTTGGCGAGATGCCGCTAGATACTAATCTTGATGATTAAGCAGCTGAGACGCTTCGAATGTGCTGAAGCACCATTGGTTACGCTCGCCAGCAAGAGAATTTACCCACTGAATGTTGAAGTGCAGAAGTTGCTCAAGGTTCCCTTTGAACATGGACGCACTATGCTCTAACCCTCCTCCGCCCCGAGAAGAATGAACATTCAGAAACACTATGCCGCCAATGGTGCTTCCCGCGGTAAGGGACAAGTGGGGCGGATTGATTTTGCGCAAGTCACGCTTGATCAGATGTTGGCTCGTGCCCGAGGATCCTGGGCTGCTTTACAGACTCTCGTTTGCAATGCGTGCATGTGTTTGTGCTTATGTGGCGTTTGTTGGGGGTTCAGTGAAATCATTCCCTTGGTCCTTTTGACATTTGATGCGTTGCTCCTGTAAGTGGGGGCCTGAGGGAGAAGTGGATCGTCATGCGCAAACAGCGGTGCAACCACAGCCAGCGTGCCTGGTCAACTTTACTCAAATTATTGCGCCAAGGTAGTGCCCTGCTGGATAGATAACATGACGAATGCAGATGTTTGGCTGGGCTGCACGTTGGGTTTCAATCTTGCTGAACATATTTTGGATTTGCGCCCATTGTTTTTCTCGAAGCAGCAAGCATACGGTTTAATGCGGCAGGTATTTGCGGGACTCTTGACAGCATGTGCCTGGAGCGTTTGAGCGGAATCAGGGGTGACACCTCAATTCTGGGGCTTGATTCCAATCAACTTCAATTTGTTGATTGTCAACGCTTTGTTGTTTTGAACCTTGTTGTTTCCCTTCAGCAGTCGGTGGTTCTCTGGAAGTACATACAGGTCCCTGGAAAGAAGGTAGAAGTTAACCCACCTTGGTCAAGCATGCAAACCGATGCTGAGCGTGTGGGCTTTACCGCGGAGCCTTTGCATCCCATTGGCCCGAGTTAACTCAACCTGTTGTTTTGGCTTGGAATCGCTTGGAAGATTGAGCTCCGGCCCGTGAGCAGCAACAAATCAATAGCAACAGAGGACGCAGCACAAGCAGAACTTGTCAATGTAGAAAAGGGTGCGCACATAGGTGCTCGATTGGTTAAATTCACATAATGTAATTCATAATGTATAGCATTAGTATGTATCCCATGGGTTTATAAGCTTGCGTGCCTACAATACACTAGCGGTTCTATGTATTATGAACAAGACAATTTGTTGTTTTTCGCATAGTGCATAGAAACAGTGTGTTAATAGTTGAACATATGAAGTGAAAGGACACTGCGCAGCACCGTCGGCACCGCCCCGTCTCAGGTGAACAACATGGACATCATGGCCGCCCGATGGTTGAGCTGAGACGGGCGATTATTGGCTCGCTGGCTAGCCAGCTTGCCACGGCTGGTCAGGGTTTGCGAAATTATACATTGTTACATCCGAGACACACTTGCTTCACAAGAAACTCCTCTAAGTTATTTGGTAAAGGTTATGTTTGCCTGGCGCCAGCTAGTATCCTTTAAGCGACCAAGTTGAATGTCGATACACAAGCCATGCGTGCCGAAAGCTATTTCCAGTAGGCTTTCCGGACTGCCTGCGGCTGCATAGTGGCGTATCCTCAAAAAGCTCATTATGGCCCAAAGAGAGCGTAGGTCCCACTTGTAGGGACCAGGATTTGCAATCTCAGCCGCTTTGAATGCATCCTTTTTGTGGCGGGTTTACCTTTCTTTCCCACTAAGAGAGCGTCGCCTCATTGCCGGGAGAGTACCGAAGGCCACCTTTGGTCAGAATTTCAATTCAGCTGCTTTCCTGCCTTCCTGCCTGCTTCCTGCAGATTGGGTCATTCATGCTCACTCACAACCCTCAGAATGCAGATTGTTTTGACACACTCTGAAAGAAGAAAGGAACCCGTTTGTTGGAACTCATTTCGGGTGGAAACTTGGGTCATGAGCTCAGCCCGAGATCTCGGCTCGCTGCCACACCTCCCAAAGATCGGCGGCCGCTTCGACCTCGGCCGCGGAGGTGCGTACGCAGAAAACGCGCGCGCATTTGCGAGGTTTACGCGAGAGCCGTAGGGTCGTAGGCCTAGGGAACCACTTGGAGTAGTAGCTACCACTTCACCCAGAAGGCGAACAGCCAAAGGCCCTTCAGTAAACTAAACCATCCTGAATATGTGCTGTTGTGCTTCTTCTTCTTTTTGCGACGTCACTGGGACGACAAGAATCTGCCGATTCGACCACTGGTTTGACCATGATACGACTTGAGTCTCGGGGTTGCAAGTTGCGTTTCGCGTCTGTTTGAAGCTTCAGCTTCTCAGCTTCGGTACATGTGGCCTCACTTGCCCGGCAAGTGCCACTCATCGGTCCCGGCTGTTCCAAGTACTAGTTAATGGGAACAGGAGATGCCGGGATTCATATTGGGCGGTATGTACCCTCGACGCTGGCCGTCGATTTGTTTGATTTTCGCTTTGGCGGGCACATGCCGCACAGCCACAGTAGTTTGAGATGGAAATGGGGGAGAGCAGGGGAGGGGGGTGGCCCCGACATTCTGCAGCGCTCTAAGGCGCAAACCGCGCAAGTGCATGTGCAGGCAGCGCAGGTGGGATTGGCCTGCGAATAGCCGATGTGTTTGAACAGGCTTCTTTCAAGGATGCATCCCAAAGCCACCTGCTTTACAAGGGAACCCTCAAACTCGGTGACTTTTGAATTGCTCACGTGCATCACTTGTGGCCCTGCTAAAAGCAAGGCATCTCGGCCTTCCTGAAGGGTTTCAATCGATTCGAATCCACCGATTTGGGGGTAGCACGAGCAAATGCCAGGATGGAACTCTTCTACTTAGAAAGTCTGATTTAAATTCAGGTCCTTCCGTGTGCGCAATGCAGATGTCAGGTCCTGCATTGTCTGGTTTTGAAAAGAACAATTTGTTAACTCCGCGTGACCTGACCTGCTGGATTTACGGGAGTGTGCTCCACCATGTGAAAGATGTCTTCCATTTCCCCCTGTCACCAGGCATTGATCCTGAATTTCCCATTGAAGCTTGCAATAAGGTGGAGGTGTTTTTGGTTTACGCCTACCCGTGTAGACCATTTCCATCATAGTTTGAACGGGTTCTTGCCACCTGAGCATCGTGGCTGCCAACTTTATCAACAAACGACTGCCCTGGTAGAAACACATGAGGACGCCCCATTTTGACAGGTTTTAACTCTTTCCTGCCACCACGGCTATAAAGTGGAGAGCCTTGAGGTTTATGAGACCTTTGTGTCACCCCCCTGTTTCAGATGAGCCTGAAGAGGTTTGCACCTTGACGACCGCTTTGTGGGCGCTTCCGGGGTTTGAGCGCGGCCCGTTTCACTTTGTGTGCATGTCTCAAAAACTTGCTCCAGTGGTTATCCAACAATTGTTGTCCGAAAATTCTCGCTTCGCTCACTCCGCTTGACAGGGAAATCCTCTTGTTGTGACCTATGATGTGGTTCATGTGGGATGCGACTCTGCCGTTTTGTGGGACAACCGACTCAGAATGCCTACACACCGTCTTTTGAACTTGTTGTGGTAGTTGCTTTCGCTTCGACAAGTTTGCAAGTTTGCACATATTTGAGGAAAGCAATGTGACAGTTGTCCTTTCTTCTGGAGGGTGAACAAGCCTGCGCGATCGCCAAAGGATTCCGGTCAAGTCGGTTGCCTGCCAACCGTTCCCAGATTACCCCATCCTCTTGAGAATGGGATTGGGGGAGGGGTGACCCTTGTGTGAATTGAACTTGCTGCATGAGTCCAGTTTTCCTTGTGAGGTGAAGACGCGAAAAATGAAATTCTCCCCCCCCCCCTCTTCTTCTCAGTGGGTTTCCCAGATTTACCTTTGTTTTGGAAAACCCAAAGTGGAACTCTTTCATGTTGTGTGCATTTGGCTCCTGGCAACACTTCCGATCCGTTTCAGCCAGGCAGTCCCTTGCCTTCCCTTTTTGGAAGGACGAAGCCTCGTGACTCACGGCCCCTTCGAGTGGCGTTTCCCCTCAGGCGCCCTCCAGGTGAATCTTCTTTTCTCCAAAGAAGGCACCCAACATCACCCAACGGCTTGTTCAGAATCAAGCCTCAATCCAAAAAGCCAAATAGGGCAGGCTCACTTCTCCAGCAGGACTCACATTTTGGGAACACCATCTTAGTAAACTTGCTGGTGCTCAGCATGAGAATTGGAATGACCCCTAAACAAACCATCCCTTGTGGTTGGACCCTCCGGTTCATTCCATTTCTCCTTCCCTGCCGCTTGCACCAGCAAGCAAAAAAACTGGCCGGAGGCTGCCCATGCCATGGCCCGGCAAGCGGCGGAGTCCATGCGACTGCCAGAACCCGAGCACATGCTCCGCACGTGGCGGCGAATGGCTTTCTTCGGGGAGAGGTGGGTGTGAAACTCCAAGGGCAATGGTCAGCCATAACTGGTCTGTTCCAGGGTGTTTGTGACAGCTTTCAAATTCTTACAAGCCGTCTCACTGGTGACTTGGAGGACGGTCAACAGATGTTTCGAGTGTTTCGGTAGCATTGCCGGTCAGCAAAACGATGCCCATTCGCGCAAGGTTCAAGGTACTTGCTTGGGCGTAAGAAGGCCAGTTGAGCTTTGCGGGTGAGGTCTACTTTCCACCAGTCACCAGAGAAGCCGCGCACTGCCGGTTGGAACCTGGCCGATGGCGCTCGCAAGCTTCCGGTGCGCGGAACTAGCCGTTGCTTGCTCAAGGATCAACACCAAGTATCAAGGAGCCAAAAAGTCAAGCGAGGAGGCAGGTAGGCAGCCACTTGCTCACCTACCCCACCCACCCACCCACTCACTCACCTCACTCACCCACTCACTCACTCACTCACTCACTCACTCAATCCTTCCTTTAATCAATTCATCAATCCATCAATCCCCGTGGCCTGTGACTCCGCGTAACCCGCTCAAACCTCAAGTTCTTTGCTTCCGCTTCCGAGACGATGCGAGGATGGAGCTGCAGGCCTATGGTTTGGGCCGATCCTTGGCTCCCGAAGGCTATTTGAATCTAATGTCCTCGGCGATTGGTGAAGAACCCGGCTCTGGCTTGCAACGAGCGAGCTGACCATTCCAATGGTAAAAGCAGCGATGCCGCCCATGAGGATCCCTTGCGGATGTACTTCTCGTTCTCGCAGACCATCCGAACTTGTTTGCAGTTCAGTTTACCCCAAATAAGCATGGATAAGCCACGGAGCCCTAATTTCTCCCCATTGTCTTATGCAGAACGTGTCCTTGTCCTTGTGACTTCGTGGCTTGCCCCACCCAGTTGCACCCACGCGAATTTCGCATGGCTTGCTAAGCTCATGCACACCTGTCGGTGCGCAAATGCTGGGGGAGGGGTTTGGTTTTGCCGCTATCCGGGATATTGTTTGCAATCCCCTTGCAAGTGTGGTGGATCTCTTGAAGGGCATTTTGCAAAGTGAAGTTCCTGCGGATACTTGCAGAAACGGCCGGCCCTATAGTTCCTTCTTTTTCTATTTTAAGCGTCACCTTTTCTGCCCATGAAAGGTGAGTATCCCTTGGAGCCCTGAAGGGTTTCTTTCGGAATTCTCTCGCAGGGTGTGCTGAGCCCCCAGTGGCAGCGCAGTTTGCGGCGCCTCCCCAGCAGCGGCCTGGTGCGCGCCGCAGTGGTCCTGGCGCGTGCGGTGCCTGCGATGCATCGATTCACCAGTTTTTTGTTTTCTCGGTTTGATCAACCCGCAAATGAGAAACGTGTCCAATTGGGGGACCCGATGTTGCGGTTGTTCTGACATCGCGTGATTCCTTTTGCTGAGAGCACATGCGCGGCCCCTAGAAACACGTGAGGTGTTTTTCCCCCTTTTGGCTTGCATGAAAGATAAACTGAACCTTGTGAAAAAAGATTAGTCAACAGATGAAACGGGGGATCCCTTAAGTGAGGGATCCCTTTGCTAAAATGAGACGCGCCCTACGACCCCCCAACCTCAGCCAAAGGAAGCGGGAAATCTACCCATACTGCATGGCTATACAGTTCAGGTTATTGGCATAAGAGGGATACCCCGCCGTTTGACACATCATGTTTTACAGTGTGCGTTCCAGTTGACAACGCAATCAAACTATTTGGACGCTGATGTCTTTGAAACCGCCTGGTTGCAGGGTAGAGGATGTCAGTTCAATGGACCCAGTAACAAACCTTGGATGATCAATAGAGGGTTTCCCTGGGAGAGCGAGATGTAGGAATGGTCCTGGCAGATCCTACCTGCATAGGGGCACCCGATGATCACATCAGCCGGTCTCCATTTCTGATCGCATAGACAGCCAAGGATCGACCGCCCGCAGGGTCAGGCTGCGATGCTTCAGTTTGGCCGGAGGTGCGGGGTGGCTTTGCATGTGCCGAGCGACCTCGAAGAGGCCTACGTGTTGAGTCACCTTTTAGAGGGCTGAGGGGACCCTCAAGGCTTGACCAGAGCAATAGCCAAAACGCCATCCTTGGCCATGTCCTGAAACAAGAGGCCTTCTGAGGCTGTCATTTCTTTCATTCGCAGGCGCGGCGCCAGCGGATCGCTGCCATTTTGCAGCTGATGGTGGCGCCTGGTTGTGCAACGTTTCGTGGAGGGTGTAGGGGGTTGCACGCTGGCTTTCACGGATTTTCAAAGATGGCTTGACTACCATTGCCCAGGCAGGGACGTCTGGCAGCCCTGATGGGCATTGACATGACTTTTCGGGTACAACAGTGGCGCCCTGACCTGGGTTGAGGACACAATACGCCTTCAAAAAATGTAAAGTATTCCCCGGCCGCGGCCTCCTCAGGAAACCAAGCCAACGCTCTCTGGACGAGACTGGGCCGCTGGGCTTGGGAGTGGGACAGCTGCCCCGGGAAGTTTGAACCCATTCAATGCCATTCATGCGGGGGCGTGCCCTGATCCTTGGGGGAATGCTGTCTTTCTGCGAACCCCTGACAAATCTGTGTTGAGACGATTACGCCTTGCACTGAAAATGAACATCACAAATTGGCTGACACCGACACCTGCAATGGTCATCTGATTTCTATGACGAGCTCGCTCCTTCCAGTATTGCGCGCATGAACAACGAGGAATACCTTGAACATGGTTGTGTTCCAATTGAATTCCTCTTTCTAAGCACACCAAAAGGGAACCCCTACAAAGATATGTATGTTATGGGAGGGTGTGCATTCCTTGTTCTCTGCTGAAAGGCGACTCATGTGTACACGTTGATGTATTGAAACGGGCAGCTTCAAAGACAAAACGCACACAAAATGTTTGCCAAATAGCACATGAACGGACACCAGCTGGGGATCTTCGTCACCTTGTTTGCACCAAGATTCACACCCAACCCGTTGGGTTCACGTTCAGTGGTACCTTTCTACTTTTTGCATTTGGTGGCCCATCTGCAACTGGTCCGCTGCTCAGGTAGTCCTTTGTTGGTGGTGTATTTGATGGCCAGAGATTTGAACTTCTTGTAGAAGGTAGAAGGGACACCACCCCTAACCTCCAAGCCACCAATCTAAACTAGAAGCTGGGGCGCATTGGAGCTGAGGCTGCCACGCTTTGGGCCACCGCCCGCTGCCGCGGCAAAGCGCCCCAGCAGCTGCTGACGCGGGCTGTGGACGCGGCGGCCCGGTCAGAGAGAGCGGAGTTTGAAGGAGGGTTCGGCTCCTTTGCTTTAGCTCGCCAGGGGCGCACTCTCTCACTTGGTTGGCATTTTTCTTGCTTGCTTTGCTGGCTGGCTGGCTCAAACAGAACGCGCAAACCCAGAGTTTTGTGCAAGCCATTCTGTTTGAACTTGTGACTGGCTGAGTTGCAGCTTTTACCTCACGCACTGCTCGTGCCACTCTTGGCGCGACGTGGGGTGGGGGAAGCAGCTGAAATCAGGCCATGCCTTTTAGCTTGCGGCTTTGAGTCCCATGATGAAGGTTTCCTTGTTGGAGGTTGACTGCTGCAGCTTGTTGATGGCTTATATTGCTTTCAAGCTCGACTGCCAGCGAAGGGACGATTTTGTTTCAGTTGTTTTTGAGCTACTACTGTAAGGACTACGTGCACGGTTGGGTATCCGCCTTGGCGGGGTTTGACAGTTGCTCATGTGATAGCATGTCTAGTCTTCTCGTCCTGGTGGTGATAGCATGTCTAGTCTTCTCGTCCTGGTGGTGGTAGTCGGGGCTTTGCAGAACTCCTTGCTGAGTTGGGGGATGTTGGGGGGTGTTTCCCAAAGAACGGACCACTGGCAGCGACGCAGCAAAGAGCATGAACCGGTATGTTGATTGAAGCCAAACAGCAAGGGTGACCTTATGTTTGGGAGACCACGCGTGTGTGTGCAGCGTTTGTGGCCTAGGTGCAGTCTGGCCTCACAGGAGCTGGGCGTTTGGGGGCGAGTTGTCACGACTAGCGCTTTCAGCGTTTGACAAATAGATGTATTTGTTTTACTTTGCCAGGTTTGCCTTTCACATGTTTCTTCCAGGGTGAGCAGAGGGACCCCTGAACGAGGGTTTCTGCACTGGCAGACGGGGCACCAGTCCCAAGGAGGATTGCTGTGTGCATGTTCCCTTTGGTCGTGGAGCCTTTGTTGCCAGATTCCAAGTTTAGTTGCGGTCCAACTTGAGAAGTGTTTCGCCAGAGTGTTCGATCAATGCCTGAGTGCTCAACACACATACCACTGAGAACGGTGCCCTTGATCTTGATGTATGCTCCCAAACCAACATATACTCGGTGATTGTGCTCATCCCAAAATGGCACCCTCACAACTCAGACGCAAGCACAAAAACACACAAACAGGCACACACACCCACACCTACACGCCTACACACCTACACACCTACACACCTACAAACCTACACACCTCCACACCTCCACACCTCCACACCTCCACACCTCCACACCCTCACACCCATACCCACACACACACACCTCCACACCTCCACACCTCCACACCCTCACACCTCCACACCCTCACACCCATACCCACACACACACCTCCACACTCTCACACCCATACCCATACAAACAACACACACGCGCGCACACACGCACACACGCACACACGCGCACACACGCGCACACACACAACACACAACACACACACACAACACACACACACACATGCACACATGCACACATGCACACATGCACACATGCACACATGCACACATGCACACACGCACACACGCACACACACACACACACACACACACACACACACACACACACACACACACACACACACACACACACACACACACACACACACACACACACACACACACACACACACACACACACACACACACACACACACACACACACACACACACACACACACACACACACACACACACACACACACACACACACACACACACACACACACACACACACACACACACACACACACACACACGCGCGCGCGCACAACACGCAAAGACACGCAAAGACACGCAAAGACACGCAAACACACGCAAACACACGCAAGCACACAAACCCACACGCCCGCACACACACACACACACAAACACACACACAAACACACAAACACACAATCACGCAAACACCCAAACACACAATCACACAAACACACACAAACACACAAACACACAAACCCACAAACACACAAACACACAAACACACAAACCCACAAACACACAAACACACAAACACACAAACACAAAACACACACAACACACACAAACATTTTTTTAAACAACAAAAGAAACAAACAATTCAAAAACACAAACACACACATACACACACAAAAACACACACACACACACCCACGCCCGCCCGCCCGCCCGCGCGCACGCGCACGCACGCACGCACGCACGCACGCACGCAAGCCCACACCCAAACCCACACGACCACACACACTCACACAGACTCAGGCACAGACACAGACACAGACACAGACACGGACTCACACCCACAGACACGCTGAGACACACTTGAGGTGCATAGATACACAGACACACACACATAGACACACCGACACACACTAGGCACATAGACTGTCACACTCAAAGGGAGCGACACACACACACAAAAACAAAAGCAAACAAACAAACAAACAAATGGTCACTTTTTGAGGCTCTTGGCATTTTTGTTTGCTCGTTTCAGACTTTGGGCGGCAAAAACACAGCGTGAGCGAAAACCTTGATTTGGCATGATTTGGCAAGTTTTGTCCGGAAAATGAGCGGAAATCGGCGGGAAATGAGCGAAAAGCGGAAATTTGCGAACACACACCAGAACCATTTTCCAATTAATTGAGTGTTTTCTTTCTAATAGAGCGTTTTTTGGATGAAATGAGCGTTATTTTTGCTCGAAAGGGAAAAATGCAGAAACAAGTGCCCACGGAAGACCTGGGTATTTCCGTGTAGGTGATTGAGGCGTTTCTGGATTCGCTTTGTCAACATCTTGCGAACAAGTGTTTGCCATTAATTCAACCCCCCTTTGATTTTTCATGAAGTCGTCATGGGGGATGGCCCACTGCTGTATCACAGGACTTGATTCTTGGGCACAAGCAAGATATTTTCGGTGAGCTTTGATTTAGATATTTGTTTCAATATGCTAGGTAACACCGCCAGCCTGCAGAGCACAGCTTGTTGGGCATGTATGTTTTTGGTTGGGTTTCAAGTGTCAGGTGACCCTGAACTTGTTTTGTTTGGATCGGTGGTGTGGGGGTTAGGAGCCAAATCAGCAGGTCCAAAGCGTAGGCGATTTGGAGGCAGATGCAATGGACCTCAAGTAAACATCAAAGCTCCCATGTTTAAAGGGGTACTTTAAGGGCAAGAGGATGTGCTACTTTAAAGGTGTATACCTGAAGCCTTTCCTGGAATCGGGCACACTCGAATCCGCAATTCCAAGATTCGATTCCCCCCCCCCCAAGGCTCTTCACAGCCAAGTCACCGGTTTTTTAATTTCCCCAATGTCCAGCCCGCTTCATCAACTTGGAGGAGGGAAGAGGGGTGGACCCCGGGCAAGGTGCGCAACCCTAGTAGGTCCTTGAAATATGGCGTACCCCACAGACAAACGACATGAAACCGCCTAATTAGAGTTCTCACTTATTCACTTATCGAGGTTACCAACCACTCACCAACCCTTGCTGCGTATCCAAGACAGCCCCCCCTCCAATCCTCCAAACATTCATCCCGCTAAGAGAATGGGAAACGGGCCCCAACCACAGGGGGGCACCTTCTCCATGCGTCGCCGCAGACGCCCAGAGCAGCGACCTGGCGCGGTGCTTTTGGGCCGCGGCCTCGCTGCGCTGGCGGGAGACCCGGTTTCTGGCAGGCGCTTCTGGGTCGTCGAGACGAGGGGGCTGGGGGGGGGGGGGGGGGAATTTGAGTAGTTCCGTTTTCCATTTGCATTTTTTTGTGTTTTGTGGGAAGACTGGAGACATGGGAATCGGATCTCCGCCACCTCTCCCACCCGCCCACCACGGATGGATCTCAGGTGCCAGAATGGCAGCTGGACCTTTGCTGCCACAGTGCTCTCAGCAGGACCTTAGTCCGGGCCCTGATGCTGTTGAAGCGGACGGGCTTGAGGGTCGCTAGTTCAGAAGGTCTCAAGAATGGGTGGTTTCCCCGTTTCCCCCTTGAACTTTAAGCCAGCTCCCCCTCCCTGAAAATCCGCCCTCAAACTCGATGCAGTTGGTTCGCCTGAGGCAAGCTATCTCAAAAGTTGCATCTTCAACAAAGAAACAGCCATAATATGCTTGGGGACGACTACTCCCTTGTTTCGGTGATGCAGAGGTCGTGCGGGTGGTACAGTTTGGTATCACAAAGGGTGCTTCACACAAACCACACGCTTCTTTCTGCCCATGCTTGTTGAGACGGCAGCTTGGGATACCATCCCTGGTAGTCAAGGGATGTGGTCCTATATGATAACACTTGCGGTTTGCTCAAGCAGTAGCGCTGTATCGAAGCTTAAGCTGAGTGTCCTGAAGTCTTCGGTTCATCCAAGCACGCATGCATTCAACACTGCTTGCGTCATCAAGGGTCATGTCAACACCTGCTTCCGCATATGGTTCCGCTCCATGATGATCTCTGGATACAGACCGGGCCCATGAAGGATTCTTTGTCAGGCGCCTACATTCAGCTAGTAGGCCTCGAGTTTGCATGGGGGTTGTCAACCGGTGGCTCCAAGGGTCTATGACCCTTTAACATGGAGGTGGGGCAGGTGGTATGCCAACCCCCTTGAGACAACACCAATCAAGGCGACATCAGGCAAAATTCTAGGTAACACCGCCAGCCTGCAGAGCACAGCTTGTTGGGCATGTATGTTTTTGGTTGGGTTTCAAGTGTCAGGTGACCCTGAACTTGTTTTGTTTGGATCGTATAGGAGCCAAATCAGCAGGTCCAAAGCGTAGGCGATTTGGAGGCAGATGCAATGGCCCTCAAGTAAACATCAAAGCTCCCATGTTTAAAGGGGTACTTTAAGGGCAAGAGGATGTGCTACTTTAAAGGTGTATACCTGAAGCCTTTCCTGGAATCGGGCACACTCGAATCCGCAATTCCAAGATTCGATTCCCCCCCCCCCCAAGGCTCTTCACAGCCAAATCACCGTTTTTTTTAATTTCCCAATGTCCAGCCCGCTTCATCAACTTGGAGGAGGGAAGAGGGGTGGACCCCGGGCAAGGTGCGCAACCCTAGCTAGTGAGGCATAGCCATTGCTTGAAGCTTTGTATCGAGTTATGCCAGTCCATCTTTCCTTCTGGAGGATTTTCATGCTCGCGAAGCCGGATTTGTCGATCATTACATGTGCCTTAGTCTGTTTTCGCGTTACCACACGTGCGCCCCGCGCTTCATTCTCGTATGAATCCCGAGCCGTTTGTTCGCAAAGCATTTCGGCATCAGCTCGTCAAAGGCCTTTAACCGCGTGTCTCCTTGGGGTATATCAATGTTGTTTTTTCTGTCCCGAAGCTTGTTCCCTGAACGCACGCAGCGTAGAGTTGGGACACAAAGCCAGCTATTGGATGTTTGTCGGCAAGACTCCGCTTGCGCCTTGCCATGTTTGATCTGAACTGATTGAGCAGACACGTTATCCGTGGACGGGCAAGGTGGCCTTTTCCTTTTTTGGTGTGGCTTTTATCTTTGTTGTGGCTGGAGCTCAGGTAACATTGCTTGGGCGTCTGCAACGCTGGGCTTCAACCGAGATGCTTGGATTCCTGAGGCTGGGCTGGGAAGGATTGGTTTACCTGTGCCTTCGGTTCTCACCTGCCCAGATGCCAGAAGATGCCAGAGGTCCGCATAAACCTCCGTGAATATGATTTGGTGGGGAGTCTCCTTCAGAAGGGCCCCCTTTTGATGGCCATGTTGATTTCCAGATGATTTCAAGCTCCATAATTACCACAAAAAGGCGAGCCACACAGAACTTGTTACAAGCTTACCCTCCCTTCACTAACATGGCACCTGACAGAGGGTCGCTTAAAGAGGAAATTGATCTTCCACGTACCCTCCCACAAATGCTATCTTGGTGGGTTGAAGGCTATTTTTTTACTTTTGCCTTTGTGGTTTTCCTGGGAGCCATTGCTGGATCTCGGCTCAGGTGGTTGCGGCCTACGCGCGTCGCCAAGACGAATCGCAGGAGCCCTGCGCTCCCCAGGCGGTGGCCAACCTTCTGTGGAGTCCCTTGGTTCGGGTGAAGAGCCGGGGACGGGGTGAGGTTTGCAAGTCTTTGTCGTCTCTTTGGCGTCTCTTTTTTCTTTTTTTCTTTTTCTTTTTTGGGGGGGAGGGTAGTGAGGCATCCATCGCAATCGACGGTCATCATCATAATGGTCTGTGGGGGCGGGAGGGGTTGCAATTGATGATCCAAGTTTTTTGGCAGAGCTTCAATGTCTCTAAAAGAGGGTGGCGAGGCAGAATAGGCCTTGAGTGTCCGTGTCAATCACCAACAAAAGGTGCCCTTTCTTTATTGCTGGCCACCCGGCATGGGAAGCACCCCGCATGATCTGAGGCTTGGCCAAGGCCTACGAGGGTGGCTTCGGAGACAAGGCGGTGTCCGCAAGGGATGGATGCGTCCGCCTGTTTCTGGAGGGCCTGGACACCACGGTGAATGGACAAATTCCTGCCCGAGTGGGAAGATTCCCAACTAGTGCAGGGGTTTGTCCATCCACATGACATAGTGGTTGTTTCCTGAAAGTAGTGGCCCAAGCTGAGGTTTCCCAACTGTCTACTGACTGGGGCAGTCCACGGCTTTGCGTGACGTAGAACTGTTTGATAGCAAGGCCGCACTTTTGAGGAAGAGAGACGTGGGTGAGAGACAGGGAGGCCAGCTTTTTGCGCGCCTGAACCCCCTATTTTGCCACAAAGGCTACCCAGCACAATCCACGTCCCTTTACGTACCTGTACAAGTGTAGCTCATTCCACACTTCGTAGATCTCACTTCCCAGCTCAAAGGTTTGATACCTTAGTGGGGTGAGATTTGTAGCCGTCACAAACAAGTGCAAGCCGGTGGTGGCCTATGGGTTGAGTGACTCATCGGCACTTGATCAAGTCTTTCTATCATTCAGATTGTCCGTTTGTTTTGCTACACACTGCAACCCAGAATGCTGACTGTCATGGTTTATGTGTTGAGCAGCTGCAAGCAACTTTCGATAGCTTGCTCATCAACATGCAGGTTGCAGGTTGTTTATGGCATGTCTGACTTCTCGGTACTAGTCAGGTAACCCCCAATTGGTGGTTTGGGGATTTGAAGCCTTGGTGTTTGTAGAGGGTAGATACAAAAAACAAACCCTCCTAAACCACCAAACCACCAACCTCCAAACCACCAATCAGAGGGAAGCTGAACTAAGGCCGGTCAGGAAGTGAAGGCCCCCCGTTCAGGCGGAGGACCTGGCGTTGAGTCTGGAGACAGCGGTGCTGTCGTGCCTCCAAGCCGCGCAGCCCTTGCACGCGCCTCGGACGGCAGAGAGAGATGTGGCTGGGGGTCAAAACCAACAGGATACCATTTTGGGGCAGGTGCACCACCCATTTTAGTCTATCTTTTGGGCCTGCGGTAGGCGGCTACGCCTCTTTGAAGTTAGACTATGTCATGTCATGTTTTTTTTTTTGTTTTTTTTTTTTTATGAGAACCGTATCCTGTGCTTTGATATGGCTGTTTAGGTTATGCATGTTGCCCACTCCAGCCCCAGATGATGCCACGGATGCCAGCTTTCTGGGCCCCAGCCGGGCCCCAACCCAGAAGGTTCACATGGGGTCGCCAGAGGCCCCAGAACGAGCAGCCCAAGAAGAACAGCCCGCAAGCCAGCCCGGAAACGCAAACGCAACAAAACGCCGCAAAATAGCAGCCGGAACAAAACAACAGCCGAGCCCGCAACGCAAAACGGACAGAACAACAGCCGAGCGCTCAGCATAGCAGTGTTTGATGGTATTTACGGCTTTTTGTAGAGCAAGGGCCCAGCATCGCCGGCGTGCCCGGCAGCGCTTGGCACCAAAATGCGTGAAAATGAACCCTGCTTGTATCCCTTCGGTACCTTTTAAAAATCAGCGCTTTGGGTTGAGAGGCTTTTTCGAAGGAAGTCTCGATGATACAAACCAAGCCCCGCTGAGGCATCACCCAAGCCCAACCCCACACCCTGATGATGTCAGCCACGCGGCGCATATACGCAATGTTTCGCGAGGGTTTCCCACATGCAAGCACAGCCGCAAGCCCGAGCTGGTGACAACGCATCACGACGCCCCCATAGCTAAAGCTAGCAGGCAAATTGCCTAGCGGCAACCTGCTGCCCCAGGGCGTAGCCGGATTTACCAGGCTGACGCTTTAAAACGGTTTTCCCTGAGTATCACCGAAGATGGCTACAGGATCCAATGTTCCACAAACACGGGGATCGCTCTTGGAGAGCGGAAAGGAAGTGGCCCTTGAAAGGTTCAATGTGTGGTTGGGAGATATATTCGGACTCTTGCTCTTGGCACTCAAAGGGCGGCCAAAAGCATGCCGAGCCATTTCGCTTGATTTTGCTTGTTCTGAGCGTTTGGAACATGGTCGAACGCACCCCCCCATTTCCAACCAATGTGCAGAGAATGGTTGGGTGGGTTTGTAGCCCTTAGCTTAGCATCAACGAGCTGTTTTGCCTCGAATGGTGGGGGCTTGGATTTGGCGCGTCCCCCGCGCGAGGTCGCCAACATCCTGTGGTCGCTTGCGAAGCTTGGAGTCACGCTGGATCCGGAAGGCTGGGAGAGAGGTGTAGCCTTGCTGAACGAGAGGCCTTCCAAATTGTAGCTTCCCTCTTGCAGCGCTTTCTCCCAGCTTTGCGACACACTCCTGTTGCATCAAGCACCCAAACCTCACGAAATGGAACAAGCAAAGATTCTGTACCATGCTACCTTCTCAAAGTGATTGGTGGTCAATGGCATCCATGGATAGCGAAACAGAGCCTTAGTGTCATGGATTCAACCGGTCGCACTCAGGCTGCTACAGATCGCATGATGCACTCAAGCCCCTTTGTTTGCGGGAATTTGTGTGTGGCGAAAATGCGGGAGTCGCATTTGTTCTAAAGCGCAAGCCCACCATAGAGGGTCAAAGTTGACAAATTTTGTGCTAGGGCCCCAGTCGAACACGCCGGCCAGGCCCACTTATCACCGGCCTGAGTCACCGCATGGGTGAGCTGTTGCAGGAGTCGCTATTTTTCGCGTGCGCTATGAGTAAGCTTGCCAACTTTGTTGGGGAATGAACTCCTGTAGGTGGGCAACTTATTGCTTCACTTCCAGACACAAACAAACAATCAAAGACACAAGGAAACAATAAACGCCTCGACCATACAGAAGTCACGCCCAAAGAAGTCATAAGCCGGCAATGGCAGCGCAAGCTCCCAGGCGAACCCCTATCCTGCTTACAATTCTTTGCACACAGTGATCGAAAGTTTGACAAAGAAACATGAGCAGACTCGATATTCATCTCATTTTCCCGAGCAACCAATAAAAGCATATGTTGCTTCTGCGCCCCCAGTTTCCAGGGAATCCTTGGACCGGGGAACACCTCGACTTCCCGACTCGAGGAGGCGGAGATCCAGCACCTCGCCTCGGCCGCCTGGGCGCTGGCGAAGCTCTCGGACGCCGGCGCCACCGGCGCCACCGGCGCCACCGGCGCGGCCCACGGCTTCCTCCGGAGCCTGGCGGCGCCTCTGAGACACCGGAAAACGGCCCCCACACGCGACGCCGAAACGCGCCGTTTGTGTTTTGTGGTCATGGGTAGTTTTTGTTTTGGGGGGTTGTTTTTTTTCTCCGTGTTTTGGTGGTTTTGTGTTTGGTCATCGCGTTGGGGCCATTTTGCATGTTTTTCACCCTTGACTGAACTGATGAACAGAGTGTTTTTTTGTTTCACAGCCTGTCTTGGGATTTTGCGGCTCGGAAATGAATGATCCGACCCTTTTGGGGCTGGTTTTGAAGGACCTTTTTTGGGGAGGTTCCCATATTTTGAAGCAACCCCAGTTGTTCATTTGCACTCTCATCCCTTGTGATTTCGGTGCACAATTCCGCCCCCCCCTTCCCAGAGACAGAAGGTGCTTGGCTTGGAGATCTGGCGGTGTCCCTCCACTTGGCTTCAACACCCTAGGCCAAACAGTCAGTTGCTTGCAAGCTGCAAGTAAATCTTCCCATTGGGCTTGGCTCGAAACATGAGAACTAGCACTTGTTGCGTTTCCTTTTCCAAAACAAATAAAACACTATCTAGTTCAAAACTTAACCCCCTATGGTTAGCGGATTACGGATTGGACGGTTTACGGATTAGATCATGCTCCAACACGGTGTTGACCCAAAATTAAGAGGCTTACCAACCAAAACAAGGATTCAGCGGATTCCAGATTACGACTAGGCCCCCGGGGTTTCGACCAGGCTGGCTCAAAAGCAAGCCTTAGAGGCTACCAACTCCAAGAAACAAGTCCCATTTGGCAACCCTACGCCGCCATGCCTCAGCTCAGGATTTCATGCGGCTGTGCGTGAAGCGGACGGATCGCTCATGGCGGGTACGCTTCGAGGGCATTCTCTTGTCACACGTCTCCATCATGTGCTGGTCCTTTGCGAGGCGCCACCTACCTGTTGCTGGACTTTGAGCTGCTTGGGAAGCCCATTTAGGGTGGCGAACCAGAAGTTTGGCCTTGTTTTTTGCCAACCTACTTAGGAATTCATGAAGGGATGTCCTTTATTACCATGGTTACTTGGCAAGCAACATTTGCACACCCGGGCAGCGGGAATCAGGTGGTCGTCACGGCATGACCCGAAGATGCCCTTTTGGGCATTGCCTGTGGTCCCCGCTTTTCTGACGCCTCGTGTCATGTTTGAGAACGGCATGATCTAGGATATTCTTCAGGTTCCAAGTTGGTAGGTGGGAAAGTTGAATGTGCAGTTCTGGTTGCGTTTGAGAAGCTTGTGTGAATAACGGATAACAGTGGCGCTTTGCAGATTAAGTCTTGCGCTTTCGCGATGTTCAAGCATGCCCGTTTCCCAGTCATGAATTGGACCAGGCTTGGCTTGTTATGAGCTTGTAGTCTTCCGCACGCCTTCCATCATGTCAGAAAACACCCCTTAAAATCAGCAGCAAGGCATTGTTAAACGAAGGTCTCTACACTGGGGGGTCGGATTTGGCAACCAGACGGATGTGCAGGTTTTGCAGCAGTTAGGCGGGTGGCTCCTGTCAGCTGTGCAATTTCGCCCTTGAATCCCAGCGTACGGTCCGGTTTCTCCGCAATGTTGCAGTTGTGAATGCTTTGGTTTCTTTTCCCAAAGCGCATTTTTCTAGGTATTGCCCATCAGCATTTTAAGGCGCCCGTGCGGCAAGAGGTACATTTCGGGGACTTGCCAAAGAAACCTCTGCGAAGAAACCTCTTCGAAGAAACCTCCGCAAAGGAAACTGTGATTGAAGGAAACCATTGATGGAGCCACCAAAGGAATATGTTACCAACAGAAGTGTTATCCAAAGAACGGGTACCAGCTGCCACCGTTGCCAGTCTCAGGGCCTTTTGGGGCGCCACACCTTTCAAACGACAGCGCAGGGTCATGGCCAAAGAGCGCGTCACCCGCCAGCTGCTGAAGAGCGCCAGCCGCCAGCTGCCGTCGTTCACGGCCGAAGGTGCCGGGCAGAGGATGGCTAGCAGCACATTATTTCGCGAAAAGAAAGCCAAAAGAAGATGGGTTTAGTTTGCATTTTTTCCTTTTTTTTTTTTCCGGACCCTCTGTCACCAGGAATGTTTGCTCTTAGCAAAGACGATGCTTAAAGCTATCAAGGAACCGAGGCAAAGTTTATTTTGGTTTCGCTTCGGACAAGGGATCAAACGAGAACATATCAGGAACTGTGGGGGGGAGCTCGGTTGGCGGGGTTTGCAGGGCGTTTTTTCACCTACATCCAGTCCTGTCAATTGCTTTGCTGGAAACCTTTTAAGAGTGGCTTTTAGTTTGGACCATAGATGTCCTTGAAGGTCAATTTGCTTGAGCATAAAGGGCGCTGGTTTGAGTCTGACCCCTGATAAGTACATGGTCCCCCCCCCCACCCTCTTCGAGGTGGACAAGGTTTGGACAAGCCCCAACAACTGGAGGACCCCCTGATGAATCTGGAGCCCTTTGGTGAAACAGGAACCTGGATAGCCGCTTCGGTCCTGTTTTTTGGTTTGAGCCAGAAGGGGCTTGATACATCGCGGGGTGTTTTCTGTCAATGGGGGGGGCTGGTCTCCAAGGAGGGGCCCTTTGCGAGCTTTGACACCCTGTCATGCCAAACAAACTTTAGCAAGAAATATTATGCATGTCTGGGCAAGCACATTGTTTGGGGGGAAAACTTGAGGGTTTCATAGTGGCTGAGTCCGAAGTGCAGACTAGGCAAAAAGGAAAGCCAACTTTTTGGCAGGTTTTGGCTTGGGATGGCTTGGGGGGTACCTTCGATCAGGTCTTTTTGGGGAGGCCTAAAAAATGATTGGTTAGGGCTTTTTGGAGCAAACCTTGGCCCTCTACTTTAGTAGTTGTGGGAATCTGGGAGGCAAAAGGGGAAACTTTAAGTCAGGGGTTACGAATCGTGCAGTGACATCATTTACTTTTGAGACCCCCGTCCGCAGCTGGACCGACAGGTGCTATCAAAGCGCAGGAGCACGCGAACCTGCTGTCGGCCTACGCAGAGGCTGGCATTCGAGCAGGTTGAGACTTTAAGAGGTCAATTGCGTGGACACATTTCGGACTGTTGTTTTCTGAGTTGATAGGCCCTCTTCGCATCTCTTCGCGGGGGTTGATTTGAAAGGAAAACAAAGGGAACCCGGGCCTTTGATCTTGAGGGGTTCCCCAACCTATTTTAGATAAGACTGTTTGGACAGTAAGTCCCCGTAAGGAAAGATTGGGAGGTTCCCCCAACAACCTGATGGTGAATTTTGACCCAAGGGCGAGCATACTGCAGCCTGGGTGCTTTGAACCAGTGCATGGCCAGTCAGATTCTAGAAAAAGGCTTTGGAGGCCCTATGCAGAATAAAGAAGGCACGTGGCTATGAATCTCAGTAGAGAGCCACTTCCTGCAGCGGCTGGGGAACTGAATCCCTGCCTACATGATGTCCACCAAAGGGTCCCTAATCAATAGTCATGCCCAATTACGAGGTACACAGAAGGACTCGTTTGAAGCAATGACGGGCATCACCGGAAGCGATGATTTTGGAAACCGCGATGATTGAGCCAAGACAACAGCCTGGACAGCCCTTGGCCCCTTCCCAACAACAACACACATACTTGTACATATCATACACCTACACATAGTTATTTCTCCCTGAATGTTTGGCACATGCACACTTGCATACCATACATGACGTATGAGTGCTCAGCGCCCTTTCAAGACTGTGGCCGCGCTCAACGGAGTGATTTGCGCTTTGGAGAGTGTGTGGATTCCTGCTTTGCGGGGCAGGCATCGGAGACTGCTTGGGCTGGGATGGAGAAGCCGCATGCCATGCTCAGGCAGTGTCTTGTTTGCACATGCGCAGTCAGCCCAAGGTTGGACGACCAGTCGTCCCAGTAGTTAAGTGAATCAACTCAGGGCGTTGAAAGTAGGGAAACCCAAACCACTTGACAAGTGGACTGATCGTCCAAGAAAGGCCCCGGTTTCAAGGAACCTTGCTTCCCAGACAACATTCGGACAACTGGACGGACTATTGTTGTACCCCGCCCGTTGTTGGAAGCCCCGACGTGCTTACAGGTCAGTTCCGATCGTGGTCTCCAGCAAAGCGACCGACCGAGCAGATCCTGAAACCCCCATGTGCGATGGAATGCGGCCAGGGTTCCCTTAGAGAGAAGCCACAAGCTTCAACAAGGAGTTGGCCAGCTCCTAGTTAAGAGTCACGTCTCCTTAGATGGGCATATTCTCTCTGTAGGTATGCCTGCACAAGCGGGGTGAATGAATCCAACCGCATTGGGAATGAATCAACTGGTTACTTTGGGGCCCCCTTTGTTTAACAGCAGATAGTGATTGCTCTAGTTGACACATTCGTGGAGCCTAAGGAATGCTGCCCTCATACCAACAAACACGAAGATGCGCAGCCCCCCTTTCCAATGAAGGTCTGCACAAAGTCCGTGCAGTTGAATGTGCAAGTCTGGAGAAGCAAAGCTGCGGCTGCTCCTAGGTTGGTGCTGCTTCTGTGCGATTCGAAACTTGGCTGCACAACCTTCGGGCTGAGGAATCATGGGCCCCTTGCAAACCACATGCGCGGCTTTTCCTGGTCCCGGCATTTCAGGCTAGATAATTCGCAGGGACGAGGTAGGAGTTCCACGGAGGCCGCTCGAGTGTGCTTGGTAGCGGGGGAGGCTGTTTCCAGCTTGATCGACCTCAAGCACCAGCCAAACGGGGCCAACGCTCAGTGAGTTGTATTGGGTGAGGTGGTGTTTCAAGAGACGCGACACTGTGACACGTGCCCTGCCCATGGAAGGTGCGCAAGATCAATGCACCTTGTGGCTTCAAAGAAGGGCGCCCCTCCAAAGGTGGACGGCACAAAGATAAGTCGATAGGGCTGTGATTGAATGGGACCCCCTATGAATCCACTAGTGCTGTTAGTTATCCTGGGTGACCATGAATGATCAATGTATTTTGGTTTATGACCACTGGCAACTTTCTTCGCCGTCCCTCTCTCAACTTGGAAGACCAATGGGGTGCCGACCCCAAAAAAAGGCTCCAGTTGTGTTCCCATCGTTCGGGTCACGGGTTGCAGAAACTAGCTGAACCAAAGGGAATGGGAGAGGGCTGACCCCTTTTCCAATTCCATTTAAGCCATTCCATCTTGTCTATGGATTCGGACTGGAATGGGACTCCCCCCTTCCCTCCGCCCCCCCCCCCCCCGCCCCCCTGGCCGAAGTGACCTTAGGAAGCTGCAGCTCCAAGGGGAGACCTTCGAGTCCTTGGCCTCTGCTGCCAAGAGCCTGGCGAAGCTGCGGAGCCGCGTGCCACAGGACTACGGCGCAGCCTGAGTTTCCACCTGGTGTCAGCCGAAGAAGCAAAACAAAACAAAAAAAACGCACCACACGCCACCGAAGAATATGATATAATATGATATTTGTGGTCTTGTGTTGTTGTTAGTTTGGTTTTCGAGATTTGTTTTTTCTCAAGCCGGCTGCGTCGCATATGTTGTCTCCTTTCACCTGAAGGCCCCTTTCAGGTTGATTGTTTTTGGGAGAATTTCGCTAGAGGTGAACATGAGCTTACTAAGGTCTTTCACTAGGGGATTCCGTCATGTCAGGTGCTAGATGATTATGATACTTGCTGATTCTTGGTCGAGGGCGACCCACCCGAATTTCGCGTATAACCCAGAAAACTCGCCCATCTTTGGACATCTTGTCCGTGGCCCAGGCGAGAAAAACAGTGTCTGCTCATGCGACAGACAGCTCCCCCGGAAGCTCCTGTTGGAGCACCCTTCTTTTGAGTTTGACATGGGTATGTTGCTGGAAAAGGGGACTAACTAGGTACCCTCAAACGCCAACATGGCCACATACTCTTGTTCGAATTAAGGGGAAGGAACGCATGATTGAAAAATCCTTTGACTTCCGATATCCCAAAGGAGGGACACTGAGAGGGTGGGCGGCGCGAGGTTTTCTAAGCAGCTAGGAGCTAAGTGTTCGCCATGTCCGGTCACCTCTTGCGTGGCTCTACCTGATTTGTCTCGTTTGTGTGGGCTACGCGCTTGCTCCAGAAGCACTACTAAACATCGCACGACCCGCCTCAAGGCGCGCGCGCGCGCGCGCGTCAAGCTATGTATTAAGCCGTTTTCGGTGGTGTTCGATTTCCAGGCGCGGCAGTGGCTGGGTGATGCCTCGCTGCGGCTGTGCAAGCGCCCGCAGCTGCTCAGGGACCTTCCGCCGCCGGAGGCCAAAAACGGGGAGCGGAGAGGGAACTAGTTTCTCCTTCGGGTGCAGCTCTTACCTACACTCATGGGTCATCCCCTACATTTGTTTTTCTGATTTGGGACGAGGAAACTCACCCAAACCGTCTCACCCAAGGTTATATTGCGGATAGCTCACCGGGGGGCAATTGACGGGCGGAACAGGTGTTTCCCAGAACAGCTAAAGAGGGGCCCAAGGGATGAACAACTTTAGGCAAAATTGAGTCTTTGAGTCGCTTCCGCCCAAAAACTCATCTCTATCAGGCAGTTGTTTTTCTGTTCATTTGTTCTCGCCTATTAAATTAGCGATTTCTTCAGAAGTGGGTCGTTTCTTCAGTCCAAATTGTGCGCGTGGGTTATCAACTCTAAACTTGCTGTAGTTGCCATATTCATTGTAATAATAGTTAGATGATTAATATTATAATAATGGGGTTTACGTAGATGTTAATTCTTCCAGCTCTTTGATCCGTTTTTCTAGATGCTCCTTTGTTGAATGTGGTAGATTTGGGCGGAGTAGTTACATTGTCAATCTATCTATTTTGAGGATTTGCTCTCTTGTTCCCTTCTTCATTCTTCTTTATTAATGCTACTGATGCGTCCTCTGAGTTTCTTAACTTCAATTTCACGTGTAGATGTCTTTAGGTATTAACTATCTCTTTTATCAAATTGACTATATTTAAGTTGTGAGGATTGCAAATACACCTTACATTTGTTTGTCTTATTATTTATTTAATGAACCTTACACATATAAATTATATATATATATATATGTATGATATATTCTGATTTTAAACATATAATACACTGCCCGATTCGCGCCATTCCATAAATTATTCGCAAACTCATATGCACAAATATTTCTCGCACATCTTCATCAGTTGTTAGTGCTCCATTAGTTCCTTTTAGTTCGAATACCAACATACCACCCATCTTGGTATTCTGTCCAGTGAAATTTGTGTCTGCCATTTTCTCAAAATGATGTGCCAACGATAAATGTATCTTCTCCAAACCGCTTGTAGGAAATGCTAAAGGCATCTTGGTCAGGGTTCAAACAATGGCGTGTGGCTTCTGCCAGTGATTGACATTCACACTCTGGATAGTTCTTATTGTTAATTTGTAACTGCCAGGAGATCGGAATTGTGAAACCCTTTGCCTTGGTATGCTTGGCGATCATCACCATTTATTAATTTCGCGTCCTGCCGCATGGAATGATTGTGTCATAGTGTGATACATGGGGAAGACTAATTTCAATTTCTGGCCTTCAAGAAGATGTTTCACTGTCATTATTGACTGTGTTGTCCAATTGAATTTCCTCGGCTCGTGGAATTACAGTGTTTAATTCCCACTTGGTGCGCGTGTCTCCAGTTGTGAACTAATCCCCGTATTAGTCAGGTTGTAAAGGGTCTGTTGGAACACCATTAACATCCACTGGAATAGCAACTGGCGTAATGACTGGTGTATGTTCATTTGATACGATGGTACATTCCAGTTCGAGTGGAGCATCACGGGGAGGCAAATAATAGTTGCTGTCTATCAAACCACATACTGGTTTATGTCCTAATCGCCTAGAACTATTGCCACCGGGAATGCCTGCAACTGAATGGCGAGTCTATCGCGAAGTTAAGTCTCCCCATTTGCTATGGTCTCCAGAGTTAAACGTTGCCGCAGTCGGTTCTGTTCTGTTGAAAGGAAGGCAGCAAGAAAACCTCCACTTGGCGGGTCGGCCTATTTTATCAAACACTGAGTTGGTTCCAGTTCAACGGAAATGAGGAAATTGCCCACCACCACTTCAACGACTGACCGAAATCAGGTGGTTGCCATGGTGAGATCTTTGGGCAGCTGCGGCGCGCTGCAGCCACGCCTCTTGACCGCCTCTTTGCTCGTCCTTCAGGAGCTTGGCTGCTAGCGGTTTTTTTCGCTGCCGGCTGCCGAAGAAAACTCGATTCCACTGCAAAAGGGCGGGGAGAACGAGCGAACATCCATGAAGGGTGGGGATCCACTATTTCCCCTAGGGTTGGTTAAACTTTGTCAAACAACGAGACCCGTTTCAGTACCAGGCACAAAACGGATGTTCAAAGAATACGTGCCTTATCGTGCAAAAAGCGTTTGGACTCTTCAGGTTCCATGGAAGGTAGGACCAATCAGGTGCCCGGGTGGCTTCCATGTTGGAAGGGAGGGTATCTTTTTGGGAATACGCGTTGCCTTCTGCGATTGCTTTGTGTTGTGTTTGGGCTCACGGAAGTCGATTCTTGAATCCCATGGCTGTCCTTTTTAGACCTTGTTGGAACAACCTAGAGATATTGGCCCCTAGGAGTGCCCATGTTTGCCCCCAATTCAGTTTAATTAGTCGCTCCTTTTTGTTGTGTGTATTTCTTGAGGGTCCCTTTCACCTTGGCTTTAAGGGAGACTGAAAGGGAACCCGGCATTTGGTCAATACCCGTAACCACTCCCCCCATGTGCCAGGAGAAATCCTCGGAGTTAACGGTGCGGCAGCTGCAGGTCCTGCTGGATGCTTTGGCGCTGCTGAAGCCAAGGCAGGCGGCAGCGAGGGGGCCGTACCCGCTTTAAGGTTCGCATCGAAAGGGAAATGAAGAGGCTGTGGGTCAAAACCAATGGGATCCCATTTTGGGGTGCGCCACCCATTTTAGTTTTTTTAGTTGGGATTAGGATGTTCACTGGGGGTACGGAATTTTGACCCATGCATGGCCAAAAGGATCACCGCCAGCTCGGCCCCCGAGTTTGACACATCCCCAAATGTGGAGGGGGCCTTGAGGTTAATGGACATGATAGCCATTTGGGGCCCCAAGTGGCTGGGTGTGCGTAATCGTTGGCAATAGTTCATTCATCGACCCGTAATTTCGCAATCTGTGTTGTATACATTACAGGGGTTCAGGTATGTACAGGTTCTTGCACTGTTGTTTGATTCCGGAGTAGTCCGCCAGAGTTCCTTTGGAGTTGAAAGCCCTTCCCGGGGAGGGCGGGAAACCCCCGGGAAACCCCCGGGAAACAAAGGGAAACGGAGACAAACTAAAGGAAAACATGTTTTGGGATAGCCGGAATCTTAGCAAAAGTGGCCGCGCTACTTTCTGACGCGCACTTTCTGAACGGGATCTTGACGGCACGTGGGAGCTGACTTTGGAAGACCGTTTCCTCTTCAAGTTGCACCTTCAGGATTGGTTTGTGCCAATTAGTGGTCAATTGCTTTATTTGCTTTGTATTCTTGGAATCCGCTGTGATGCCAAGTGAACTCCCGTTTTTTGTGTTTTTTGTTCTTCGGTCGCGGGTTGTCCCGCCGAAGAGGCGGCGTGCCACACTTGTTTAGGGAGCATAACGCATAACTCCATATCAATCTTATCAATCTGTGCGTTTCGCAGTTCAAGTTAGCACAAACCTGAAATGAACGAGAGCCAACCGCGGGGAAATGGTCCAAACCAGTGGGTCCAAAGGATTCAGGTTGCATTGGGAGGGATTCAATGATTCATCTTGTGGATTGTCTTTCTGAGCCAATTCCCCGGCTTTGGGAGAGTCAGAATCTGTTGGCAGGAAGCTGGCGCCAGAGCACATTTGGTTCCTGCAGCTGGCTGCTCGGCTCCAGCCAAATCCCATGGACTTGGGAGTGACCATCCCAAGATGGGACCTGGTTGCCCTGTTTCCTTGCAAAGCAGGCCACCACGGCAAAGGGAACCTTAGAGGAAGCACAACACTGGGAGTGGTGATTTGCCATGACCCCTATGAAGCAGCCACAAATGAGCGAATCGGAGGGCTCCAAGAACCAGAAAGCTCAGCTCCAACCAGTTGCTGGACTTACTTGATGGCATGGGTTTTCAGTGGCAAGCTGGCATTTTGAGAAAGTGAGCTGGACCACTTTTGGATGGAACCTGAGAAACCAGAAGGAAAGTCCACATTGCTTGAAAGCATTCGCATGGGTACTCCATAAACATGCCCCCCACATGCTTTTGTCTATGAGTGGCATGTTTCGTTTGCATCTCGGGGCGCTGTTGCGCCCCGGAAACTTGGTTGCCACTCGTGGGATTATTGCCTTGCGCCATGCGTGCCACATCATTTAAAATTGTTTGCAGGGCATCGGCAATCTTCTGATAGAGAAATTCTGAAGATTTAGTTGGATGGGTCCTTTTGCTCAACCAGCTCTGCTATGAGAGTGCGCAACCCACCCGGCTGTTGGACATGTTGCAGTACCGAACCGCAACAAGCCAAATGTTGAAGACTCTGTTGCTGGTTGCCCAGCGTCTCGCTGGGACGGGTCTCGTTGGGTGGCTGCTCGGGTGCGGTCAACGCTTAGAAGCTCTACATGGCGGTGCCGTGGGTGTTGCAAGGATGCGTGACGGTGGGGCACCGTTGAGCGACCTTCAGCTGCTCAGCCAAGGTTGAGAGCCGCTTGGAGGAGTTTCCATTGCCACTGCCGCTCGCCTTTTTGGGTCAGTGCAGCTTTGGCAGGCATGTTTGTTTCTGATCAAATCCAGATCACGTGACTTCACTTGTGGCGAAAGCCAGAAGACCCCTTTGGTAAGGTGACTCCTTTGGCGTGTTTTCGGCCAAGCCAAACAGAGGGAACAGGGACCTTGACTTCCAAGTCCATTGGGGTGATGAAAGGACACCCTAAAGAGGTGTTCTGCTTAAGGCAACTCTGCAAGGGCGATCCCTGCAAATACTGTGCCACAATAAGGGTGGCTCCCCTTGCCCCACACCCAATCCAGGTTGCGTCTCCCCGAGTTCCATAGCAGAAATTCTCCGAGCCTCTCATCGATGATCAATTCCCCCAAGGGTCGATTTTTGTTTGCTTGAGTGTAGCTTGGCTTCCCCGGGAAAAACACACACACACACATTTCTTGCAGGTTTGGGGGAGATCCAGAGATCTGAGGCTGACCTCCACTTTGTGGTGCCTGCAGACCTTGTCCTCTCCGCGCCGCGACCTCACGGAGATGTGCCTTGGATGGGATGTCAGGGGCAAACCCCAGCTGAGGCGAAGCCTTTGGACCAAACGCCAACTTTTGGTACAACGTTTGGGTGGCGAAAGCGAAAAAGGATGAAGAAGAAGTTGACCTTCTGTTCATGGGGTTTCGGGCCAGTCATGAAACTGGTTGGGGTGCTGCGGGTGAGCGGAAGATGGCAACGTTCGGCTTATGGTATGAATCTACGGTACGAGGCTTCCCCCTCCGGCCCCTTGTAAGATTGAATGTGAGGGGGATTTGGACAATTGTGCCTTCTGTGATATTCTCCTTGCGTTCGGACGACCGGACAACTGGCAGGGTGTTCTGAAGTATTGCCTTTGAGCTGGCCCAACAGGAAGCAACACGTTGAGGGCTACAACGCTCTTGGTTGGACATACTGAGCTGGGGGACCCCCCCCTGAAATGGCAGGCCTTGCCATTGACAGATTAATCAATTCCCATACTGTTTGAAGTCTTTGCACTGTCATGTTCGTTAATCAAGAGGCTTGCTTGGTATAGAAGAGCAACCCCCTCATTCCCTCTACACCCTCAGAAGTTTTCTCCATAAGCATGACCAATCGTTCCTGCTTCCCTTGAAAAGTTCGACCAGGTTTGTGGACAGCCTACTTGTCGTTTCACTTTGCCGCTGCTCCACCCTCTGCAGCAAATGGTTTTGTCCCATATGCAAGTTGGGGACATGGAACACCCAGTAATCTTCGATGGGTTGTGGATTGCTCAAAAGGTTGCGATACTTCCCGGAACCCCGGAACCAACGTGTTAGCATTTCAAATGCATCCAACATTAGAATAATTCTAAAATGGATGAAAATATCCTGAGAAGATAAGAGATTACTCAAATAAATATTCCTGAACAGTGTTTGATAGTGACTGGCGCCTACCCTCATAGTCTGATTGGCTTGGTGGCCGATCGATCATTGAGATTGCAGGTTGACCGTTTGCAGGCGCTGTGATGCTTCCAATAAGATACCTAATACCCTTGAGGCCGATGTCTTGACGTAGTCAATTATACTTATTAGTAATGCGATTGGCATTTCATTCATGTGGTCACTAAGTTCATGTAACAATGTAGTAGTAGTAGTAGTAGTAGTAGTAGTAGTAGTAGTAGTAGTAGTAGTAGAAGTAGTAGTAGTAGTAGTAGTAGTAGTAGTAGTAGTAGTAGTAGTAGTAGTAGTAGTAGTAGTACTGTAAGTAAATAGTAAGCAGCAGCAGCAGCAGCAGCAGCAGCAGCAGCAGCAGCAGCAGCAGCAGCAGCAGCAGCAGCAGTAGTAGTAGTAGTAGTAGTAGTAGTAGTAGTAGTAGTAGTAGTAGTAGTAGTAGTAGTACAGTAAGTAAATAGTAAGTAGCAGCAGCAGCAGCAGCAGCAGCAGCAGCAGCAGCAGCAGCAGCAGCAGCAGCAGCAGCAGCAGCAGCAGCAGTAGTAGTAGTAGTAGTAGTAGTAGTAGTAGTGGCAGTGCTTGTTGGTCACTGATTTGTGGCTGTTAATCTTTAATATTTTAAAGGTATTACTGGTAGTACATAATTGGGCGCCATCTCTGGTTGAAATTGATTTGTTGTTGTTTTTTCAATTTTTGTCAGTTTTTGTCAGTTTTTGTCAGTTTCTGTCGGTTTCTGTCGGTGTTTGTCGGTTTCTGTCGGTTTGTGTCTTTTTTTTTCTCTGAGGGGCCTTACGATCTGTTTATGTACGGTCTGTTCCCCGAAATTGTTTTAATGAATTTGGGTGGAGAGACAGGGACCCCACCTGCCGCCCTTCAGGTCTGCTTGGATATGGCAATGTTTTGAAGGGGAGGACCCAACAAAAAGCTGAAGAAACATGTGTGTGTGTGTGTGTTTTCCTTTTGGTCGTTAGCAAAGTGCAAATGGCGCTCTCAAAGCCACCGCCCACATACGGGGAACCCTTTGCGCGCGTAGCGGTCGAAGGCTGGCGGCGGCCACTTCTCGCTTTCGGGGCGCGCAGCTTGCATGGCCTGGCCAGGCGGCACCCGTGGTTCTGTGTTTCGTTTTGTGTCATCCCGCCCAAACAAAAGGCTCCCTGGTGTAACTCAGGCCTGAGAACTGGTGGGTTGACCAAAGTGGTTCACCACTTTTCCACCTGTCCAGAAACTTTCAGGCCACGGCGTACAAAGAGAAGTCTGAGGGGGAAGTGCAGCTGCGGAGAAACGCGCAGAGAAGTCATGTTTTTTAAGCGGAAAGCTGCAGCCTTGAGGTGGGCTGACTGTTTGGGCTGTTGGTTCCTGGTCCCTTTACGAACCAAGCAACAAGAACGTCGACTTTGGCAGGTCATTAGACAGTGCTTCTCCCAGCATGAGGAAGCATCGTTGAACTGGGACACCCGTGCGTTGCAGACTGTTTGCGTTGGCATTCGTATCGACAGCACTGGCATGCTCAGCAGGGAGGTATTGCAATCATATATGGGTCCAAGCTGGCTGATCGTGTCGTGTGGTTCGATGATCTTACTGGATGTGGTTTGCCCAGTTCAGTGGATGGGTCAGTTTCGGGCCATTCTCGAAATTGCAAATAAAATGTCTTAATAGACTACTGCTTTCCCAAATGGGTGCCGTCCACAGACAAAATCGAATCGAGACTATGTCTCCGGGCTTGAAGCAGTGAAGGGCATGCGGCTACACAGCACGAGTTGCGGAGACTTTCCGCACGGCAAGTTCCTTGAAACATCTTTGTGCAATTGAATTATGCACTATTGATTTTGCTTGGCAGTTCGAGCATGCTCCTCAGCCAATTCGAATTCAGCTTGCTTGAATTGAGGTCAGCAAAGACATCAGGGCCCCCGCTAGCCCCGCAAAGGTGCGTTTCTGGGGTGGGTTGTCTTTGGTTTCCTCTCTCTACATCTCCTGACGACCTGGAAGCTTTTGCTTGTACTTTCTTCGCGTGGCAACTCGTGTGTTCTATCCCTCAGGCAAAGGGTGACGCGGTAGAGTTGTCCAAGCGCCTCGGTGTGCAAATCAGAAGGGACTACAATTTGGCCCCTCCTGACAGTGGTGCCCCAAAGGGAGATTCCTCCATATTTGTTTGTTTATTGGTTTTATTGTGCTCCATGTCCTTCATGGCGCAAATGGGAGCGCAGATTCTAGTTGCCCCTGAACATGCGCGTGGTTACCCAGCACCCAAGAAAAGGTCTGTTGCGCCCCATGCTTCCCAGGGATGAGTGTTTGCCAACAATAAGCCAAGGGTTCCTTTTGAAGCAGGACATCTCCTACAAATCGACCAGGATTTCTGAATTTGTTCTATATTTGTTACGACATGTTTATCCCACTGGATAAGGATGTGTTTCCACCGGCAGAAAAGCAAGGAAGGAAGGAAGGAAGGAAGGAAGGAAGCAAGCAAGCAAGCAAGCAAGCAAGCACCCACCAAACCCCTACCCCCCTAAACCTACACCCTGCACCCACTCTAAACCCAACCCAAACCCACGTGAAATGGACCCGGAGAAAAGCAGCACGATTGCTGCCTTCCTGAATCCGGGTTAAGACTCAGGAGAAGTCATAAGAAGCCACAAGTGCGCGCGCGCGTTAAACTCGGCACGCCCAACCCGCCTGGAGCGGGGCGAGACGCGGAGCGGGCGAGGCAGCAGTGGATGCGGCTGGTGAACTCCACGGAGCCGGCCCTCACGGAGTGCAGCGTCTCAGCTTGGAGCCAAGGGCGACGGTATGCGACGGTTGCCATGGGAGCCAAGGGGGAGCCAAGGGCGGGATGAAAAATTCCCCCGCAAAATCCGGGGAGCTGGGTTTTGACACATGGGGAGCTAGGCTTCAGCCAGAGCAACCAGCAAACTCACGGCAGTTAAGGAGATGACGCTTAGGCAATCCATGGGTAAGTTGCTGCAAGCGGCCCGGCCAGCGATGATTCAACAATCCCGCACCGTTTGTCCCATTTTGCTTGGCGAGTGTTCTGCTAAACATGGTCAACTCCAAGAAAGGGTCCCCTTCTTCTACCAGGGCCACTGGGCAACTAAATGAGGGTAAAAGGTTGCTGTTGTTCCTATCAATCATGAGCAAAGCGTGCTGTGTTTCAAGTTAAAGGGGTTCATGCTGGCTTTCAAACTGACGAGTGGCCCCTAATCAGGCTGAATGGCCAATCTGTTTGTTGTTGATTCGCGCGCAGCTCTTCAATTAAACACTTGTGAGGTCCCTGCACACTTGGAAGTATCCACTACAGGTTTCTTTGATTCAGCTCACGGAGTGGCCGCGATCATGGCTTTGCGAACATGTCAGTGGGATGACTCGCTGGCTCAGCCCATTGAGGCGAGCCTTGGGCAATTGACCTGGCACGGCCCTTCGCCACATGGCTGGACCAATTCTTGGAGGAGCCAAGGGCTCGGCGCAGTGTCCTACTGCGCGGTGGGCGCAGTGTCAGCGCGGCTCAAACAGCTCAAGCGGGAGGCCTGTTTGATACCCAGATTTCAGTGGCACCATTAAAGTCGCGCTTGTTTGGCCTCAATCGCGTTCCACTTCTTTGTGAGCCAGGGTCACTGGGAGCGGCACGTGTGTCCTGAGGAACATGCCAAGGGTTGGGTTGGGGTTGGAGTTAGTTTGGGCAGGGGTGGAGCAGGATTCACGTGCTTCAAAAGGTTGATCCCCGAGTTTTCAGGCAACGTTCGTTTGACAAGCCACTCCGGTTCAGTTCCCTGTGGTCGTTTCCAATGTTTTTAGGCAAGCCGTTCCCTGGAGTCAGACCTCCGGCCCTTGCAAGCAAGCATAGGCATAGTTCTATGCTCCTTCGTTCAAGTGGCTTTGGGGGGGTGCATGCAGGGGTCGATCGCTTTGCACGGGTATGTTCAGGGAACCATGGCTGCTATAAAGACCCTCCCTGGGATGCTTGGTCACACTATTTTTGTTGCCTTTTGCCTGCTGAGTTGGCGGCTGTGAGATTTAGTAGGGAACACCACACAAAGCTGACGGACATAGACCCCTCATGTAAATGATGTCCACCAAAGGGTCCATGTTCAACTTGAATTCATATTATCAGAGGCGCAAGCAGTTCGCCTTTATTTCTGGGGCCAACCAAAAGTGGAGTCCAAAAAAAGGATCCGATATTTGACTTCTGGGCCCTTGTTGCAAATCGGGGTTGGTTTACGTTACGCAGGAGCTCCGCAATGAGAGCGATTTGGTGGTGGCAGTCGCCCAGGAGAGGGGCCCAGCGCATACCCCGTCTGCCAACTTCCACCAGCCCCATAATTATGTGTTTGCTTCGGGGGCGGGGTTTGTTTCTTAACAAAGCAATCATGTATGTAGAAATCAATCCGTTGCTTTTGTTCAGTGTTTAGTGCAGCATCACCTTTGTTCCCCAAGGTGTTTTGGTGGGTTCCTCACTAGAAGTGGCCAAAAGCGGGCTAGGGTCACCGGGCAACTGGGTACTTCCGGCAATTAACAGCAGGCGATAAATTTGCATGGTCAGGACGGGGAGACAACCCGGATGTTAAAAATCACCTTGCATAGGCCGTATGCAAGCACAAGCGATCAGGATTTCCAGCGCAACTCCATGGAGAGTGAGGGAGGATCCCCAGCTTGATCCGCCGATTGCTGAAATGAATCAGAGAGATTTTCCTGGGTGTGCCCAGGAAAACGAAGCCCCTGAATCGAAGTATCGTAGCCAGACCTTTAAGGAACTTGTGTTTGGAAGCAGTTGAAAGGACAACTCACCGGAAAGATCCGGATTTCATCCGGGGAATCCAAGTGGGAGCTGGTCCGCGCGGCAGGACAGCGTGCTTCGCCAGGAGTCCGCAGCTGGCCGGAGACTGGTTGCAGCCCTGTAGGGTTTTTGCAATGTTTCCGTTGTGTGCCCGGTATGGTTTTGTGTGTTCTGTTCTTTTTTGGGCAGGGCCCTCGGATAATATGGATATAAGTAGTTCAAGCCCCACTTCATCCTCAGCAATTTGCTGCCCTGTCAAGCCGTTCTAACTCAGGTTGCTTTCCATGTAGTCCTCCCAGCAACATCTACGGCTGAGCAAGTTATAGCGACCACTCATGAAGGTTTCTTGAACTCTGATGATTCATATGGAAATTGTTATTGAACAGCGAAACAAGAGAGAGAGAGAGAGAGAGAGAGAGAGAGATATAGAGAGAGAGAGAGAGAAACAGAGAGAGAGAGAGAGAAAGGGAAAGAGAGAGAGAGAGAGAGATATAGAGAGAGAGAGAGAAACAGAGAGAGAGAGAGAAAGGGAAAGAGAGAGAGAGAGAGACAGAGAGAGAGAGAGAGAGATAGAGAGCGAGACCCCGTTGTTAGAGGCTTTGATTCGACAGAGGGCTTATTTTCCACAACCATGAGCCTCTTGCTGGAAATGTGTCTTATCCACATCTAGGGCTTGCTGGGATATCTCCTGAAGTTATGTTACATGCATCTCAAGGTTCACTAAATATGGACCAGAATCAATATACCTGGACATTCCTTTGCGCAGAGTTTTTGGCGAAATCGGCTGCAGGCGGCGCGGGGCTGTGTTGCTTGTCAGCGGGGCTGTGTTGCTTGTCACTGCGGCAGCTTGTAGTCGCCAAGCTGTGTGATCCATGTGCCCCTGCTACATTGGGATGTTTGACCTGTGACTGGAGCCCGCAAGTCTGTCTTTGGACCTCGAACTAACCGACCAACCAAGCAGCCACCAACCAACCCAACAAACCCACCAACCAAGCAACCCACCAACCAACCAAGCAAGCAACCAAGCAACCAACCCCCTCGGCTTCCATCTGATTTTTGTTGTACCCTCCCGTTTCTGACCCCTTCCCCTTGGCCTGAGCTCGGGCGCGCGAAAACTCGGCGCGCGCTCCGAGGCGGCGGCGCGGTACCGAGCGCTCAGCTCGGCCGTGGGGGGCCTGGGCCCCCGCTGGACCACGGAGGCGGCAGCGCTGGGCCTCCGCTTCCTGAAAGCCTCCTGGCCGAAAGGCCCAGGGGTCCGTTTTTGGCTAGGTCCCCCGTTAGTGCCCTTTTACCAACTTTTTTGGTTGGGAGGGTTCCCCTAAAATAGACGACAGAAAACAGGGTACCCTTATTATTTTTTGCACTGGAGGACCTAGTAGGTTACCCTAAGGGTCATGATCCCTATGCAGACCCCCGGATCCCTCAGGATCCTTTTTCATACCCATAAAGAGAGCTTCACTTTTTGCAGAACCGCCTGGAGTGAGACTCAGGGGTCGGGTTCTTTAGGCCAAGCCCTGGGCTGTGCATGCGTGTCTCTTTCTGTCTCTCTGTGTGTTTGTGTGTCTCTCAGTGTCTCTGTGCGTCTCTTTGTGTGTCTCTGTGTGTCCCTGCTGTCTCTGAGTGTCTCAGTCTGTGTCTCTGTGTGTCTCTGCGTACTTCTGTGTGTGTGTGTCTCTCTGTGTCTCTGTGTGGCTCTGCGTATTTCTGTGTGTGTCTCTCTCTGTGTCTCTCTGTGTCTCTGTGTGCCTCCGTGTGTCTTTGTGTGTCTGTGTGCGTCTCTCCGTGTGTCTCTGTGTGTGTGTGTGTCTGTGTGTCTCTGTGTGTCTCTGTGTGTCTCTGTGCGTCTCTGTGCGTCTCTGTGCGTCTCTGTATGTCTTTGTGTGTCTCTAGCGTCTCAGTGCGTCTCTGCGTGTTTCTCTGAGTCCGTCTGTCTCTCTCTCTCTCTCTCTCTGGGACCAGCTGTGCAGCCATGTGGTTTTGCCTGTTTGCGTTGTCTCGACTGCTATGGGTTGACAGCTTGGGGTCGAGGTCGTTTCTTGCTCCTTCCCGGTTGTTTTTGCTGTCGCTGTGGGCCTGTCGCCCGGGTGTCCTACCCCACGCACGCCGCTGTGCGCAGCTTGGAGCTTTGTGTGTGTGTGTGTGTGTTTCCGTCTCTTGGTTTTGAGTCGCCATGCGCCCCGCTGGGGCAGCTTGGGATTCGTTCGTGGTTGCCTTGTTTTTCTTGGCACGGTCTCTTCTTGTTGGTTTTGTTGCTTCACTTTGCCGACATTTTTTCCTAATGAGCCCCGGGGCCTTTGTCGTGGCCCTAGGCACGCTCATCTGCACAGACGCTCACATGTGAGGTTTATGTCGTGCATTAGTCTTGTAGGGCCTGTCTGAGGGGTTTCCAGAAGGTTTTACTGGTACCATTCAGTGTCACGAAGATTTGCGCTGAGGCTTCTGACGTGCCTGCAGACCTGCAGGCAGGGAGTCGTTTGAGATCTGGTTTTTCGTGAAGTCTTTAGACCTAAGCGCCTTTGCTTTACGAACCACTAAGTACGGTCCAGTATCAACTGTAGGATCTTTGCTTGCGCAGAGGAGCTGAGGTACCCTAGTTTCGAAGCACCCTTTGTTCCTTTTTGCTTGGCGGGCTTCCATTCAACAATTTGTCAACCCAAAAGAGTCCTTTTTCTAGCACTGGGTCTTCTTGGGGAGTTTTCCGGCCTGGCGAATAAGTTTGCTGCTGAGTGTGTCGCGCAGGAGTCGACATACCTCCGCCTCGAAGCCATGCAACATGTGAACCTTGAGCTTGCACCTCGTTCGCGGGCCCTGATGACCTGCCTTCTTGGTTATGGATTTCCTCCAAACCGGGAGATCCACCTCTGTGTTTATACCCCAGCCGTCCAACCCGCCACCCCCCCCCCAGCTTTTCTGTGAGGACCAGGTATGGCCCCGGCACCGCGAGGGCGCCGCCGCGCTGCAGGCGCAGCTCAGGCGCGGGCATGAAGGCATGAAGTGAGCCCTTCTCGATGCAATGTCATGGGCGTGTCGTTTTTTTGTGGTGCCATGTTACGGGTGGATTTAAAGGAGAGCCAACGCAGCACCCCACCATTTTGAGGGTTTCCTGAGCTCATATAGCGAATTGGGCGATGATGAGTTTGTATCAGATCAAGATGCCAAAACGCTGAATGAGGCTATATTTATTGGGGTATTTAACAATTAACTAAGGTTTCTGTTCGCGGGGGGTGTCCAAAGCATGATCTGCACCAATTCTAGGGAGCTCGCCTCGGGCTAAACCAAGATCACGAAGATTACTTAGCTAAGGGTTCATTAGTTCAGATTGCCTACTAAGAAGGGTCATTACACTTCTTCCGGGTTGGAGGAGTCAACCAGTCAACCCTCCCCATGGTGCCTTCCAACAAAAGCCCTGACTGATGCATCATTAGAGATCTCATGCTTGTTGAAGCCGAGGAGGGGGAATTCGAGCCACTGGGGTCAGGGTTTGAAAGCACCTTTTGATTCTTTAATTTTCTGATTCGTTTAGCCATTGCCCTGAAAGTGTAATAGCGTGCGTGCCTTTTGTTTCCAGGTCTTTCGGGCGAGTATGTTGGGATTGCTGCCACTTTCGACCTTTTCCAATCATCGTGTAAATGCCGGCTTAATGGGACCAGTAATCAACTGAGAACCCCGCAAAATGCAGCTGCTTTACAAGGGGCCCGGAACTGGAACGAATTGTTTAAGGATGGGGTTGACCAAAACTGTCGAGACTTACCGCACCCCTGAACATGCAAAACCCTTTCTCTCCACTTCAAGGGCTCTCGGCTTGCCAGTTTTCGGCCCTCGCCATCAGAAGAGCAGCTGGCCCCGCAGCAAGCAAGTGGGCGGGTCAGGATGAGTGGCACCCTTTTGACCAATATTGGTTCAGCCCCCAGTAGTGCCCTTTTACCCTTTTTTGGGTTAGGGTTCCCCTCAAGGAGGCTACAGAAAAAAGGGTACCCTTATTCTAACCTCTCTACTGTAAGACCTAGTCAGAGACAGAAGAAGTTACTAAGTGGAGATATGAGAGGGTTGTGGCCCTCCGTAGTCTCGGCCCCGGATGGCTAGGTTGCAGTGGTTGCAGTGGCTCCCCCTTGCTGTGGCTCTGAATCAGTAGCGGATTTGTCCTTTTCTGCTGGGGGTTCGGGAGACTTAATCATGGTCAACCGCTCAAGAGGCTTCCTTTTTCTATCGGGGTTTTGTGGCAACTGGGACAAGTCTCGCATTTGAAGACCAAAAGAAACGCCGTCCTGCCAGAGTTGGGTGCTGTTTTGGCACCTGCCCAAGCTTCCTTGTGGAAGAGGTGCCAAACGCGACTCATGTACTTGTAGCTTTTATTGGTGGAAGCAGAGCCATGCCTACTGCTTTGCGGTTGCCGTATTTTCCGAGGGCACGCTTTGCGTTGTTTCCTTTGGTATCCGGTTGAAGGCAAGCTCATTGCCCGAGCCTTGCAGGACAGAGGTGAAGGGCCGTGCCCCAACAAAAGGGGCACCTTTGGCTTAAACAGGGAGTTCCGTGCAAGGGACGCTGGTGGAAATTCCCACCTACATGATGTCCACAAAAAGGCCCCCCCTTCAACATGTATATCCAGTTTTCAGCCAGTTCTATGCTAGTGTGGGAGTGTGATTTGAACAGCTTCAAGCGCAGCTGCGGCTGGTTGGGCTAACCCTGTTTGCTTGAGGCCTTTGTTCGCTTTTGTTGGGTTGGATTCAGAGTTCCCTTTTTCTGCCAGAGTCACTCGCAACTGGGAATACCGGGGATACCTTTAGGCAGTCCTGCAACACTTTGCCGTCACCGGCCCGGAAGAGCTGAGCAGCAGCAGCGGATCAGAGGAGTCAGACAGCAGGAAGCCCCAGCGACAAATTTGCGGGGAGAAAGCGGGAAAGAACGCTGCGTGCTGAATAGCATCTGATCGATTATTTTTCCAACCCCCCCACATATAGCACCCGGAACTGCTGTGGCCAAACACCGACTGTTGATTTGAGTCGAACTTAATCTTTGGGTGTTTTGGTTTCAGTCGGGTAAAGCATACACACCCGCCACAAATTTAGGATCCTGTTTTGAGCCGAGCTCATTTGTGGTTTACAGGGTGGGTATGTTCACTTTGACTATGTAGTTCCTTTGTGTTGGTCAGTGTCCCTTGGGTAACAAAGAAGGGTGTCCTGTTTCTCCGTGGCCACTGCAACCATGAAACGTGACTGGGGGGTTGGATCATGCTCCTCGAAAAGTAAGTGGCCTGCTTGCCTGTGCCATGTTGTGTGCTGTCTCTTTGACATTCTTTGACACCTACTTGCAGAAGGCCTGCAATGCCGTGTGCACCGTCCGAGTGGTAAAGTCCTGACCAGGGTTTGGCGTTTGAGCTTCTCGTGGGCTCAAATTATTGAACCATCGGGACATCTTGAGTTTCTCCCTTACTCCTTGGAGGGGAGCCCGGGTTCAGACGAAAGGAGCTCAACGCGCAGTCTTTGCACATGACTGAAATCAAAGGAAACCAGAGACAGGTTTACGCCGACCCACCCCTACTGGCACACGTTGCGCTTTGGAGAGACGCATGGCAATGAGGTTGGGGTTTTTATCCCAGGCGACCAGAACGGGTCTCCAGAGAAGCAGCTCTTGCCAGATCCATTTATTGGGTGGTTCAGGGCCATTTTGGGCCCTATTGACCAGCCAAAAGATCAGATTGGCACTACCTCACTACACGTTTTTTTTCCTCAGTGTTATGAGATCCTGTGTTGAACCACTTCAACACCTCCCCGCAAGAAGGGGGTGCTAACTCAAGCAGCACGCCGGCGAACACCGAAGCGCCCCCAGTGGAGAATACCGAAGCGCCCAGGCGAGGAGGAGCAAGCACCGCCTTTGAGCTTCGGCTCTTTGCTGGTGCCTTGGCACGGTACTCCAAGCAGGTGTGGTAAGCCCCTTCCTTCACATAAAATTCCTTGATGTGGGCCTCTGAAAGTGGTTGCATTTGAAGTAACTCACAAAATTACATTTGACACAAAACCTCTTTGAACCAACATTCAGTCGGGTTAGTTTCAGGGTGTGACTTTGATTGACTCAGACGTACACCCTGAATATATGCCGATGCAGTCGAAGATGGATTTATGTTTGCAACAAGTTCGGATGGGGGTGAAGCGAGCTCGCCCCTGCAGGTCCCTGGTTTGGAAATTGCTTAGTGCTGGTTGGCTTGTAGAAGAATGAATCTCTTTCTGAGGGCCTTTGCTGGGTTCCACGTGTACTTTCTGATTAGTAGCTGCCTTTCTCATAGGGTGGCTGCAGATTTGGGACCTGTTTAAGCAATGGCTTCAAGCGGCTTAGTCCCAAGCCCCGTGGCGGCGGGCTGGATAGCCCGGTAGGCCACATTTGCCGGGACGAGAAAGCCCATGGTTTTGGGGCCACTTTGCCCAAACCTGCAAAGATGCCCTGCCGAGAAACACGCCAGCTAGAGTCGACACCATGTTTGTGAAAAGTGACGCTTTGGAAGTGGTTTTGTGGTAAACAAGCAGTCAAACAAGTGGGATGTTCAGTGTGGTCTCAAAGAGAAGGGTTTACGTTGTGAGCGTTCTGTGTCCCAGGGTTGCTCGATCATGCGGCCACTTGAGGGGTTTCCGTTTGCGGCGCCTCGCCTTGGCCCTTGAGGCCGCCAATGCAGCGGCCGAGGAGCATGCAGAGTTCAAGATCCTGTCCAGGCGTTGTTGTCAGGGATAGGTCTTTGGCTCAGCTGTTGTGCCTCCCATCCCTTTTCAGAACCAAACAGATTGTATAATGTGGGGCATGCTTTGCTATGGCCCTCCAAACAGTGCCCACGCTCAGCACTTTCTGTTGAATTGCTTAAACTGTTGCTAGAGTTCTGCATCATGTTTGTCAGGCAACTACTGCGATACTACTGGAAGCTCTTTTTCAAACAAGGAGTTTGCCATTTGGAAGGTCAGCCGGGACCAGTATGGCGGAAGTGGGCACAAAACGAAGCAGACTTCAATCAGCGTTGGCCCTACGACCTGCTCGCAGGTTGGCGGAAGACCTGCAGCAGAAGGACCGCGCGAGCCTGGGAGGGCAGGTCACGCTCTTCACCGCGAAGCCGCCCTGCGTGTCCTGCACCCTGCCCCGACGGGAGGGGGCCCATGCCTGGCGTCATGAGTTGTGAGAAGTGAGAAGGCGAGCTTCTTTGTCCCAGATTTCCCGCTTATATCATCTTCTGGGCAACTTGCAAAGTGTCCTCATGAGGTTTCAGGGGGGCCTAGGGAGTCCTGCTACATTCGGCACACCGCGCTCAGCCAGCTTCGGAGGTTTGGGCGCCATGCGCCAGCTGCGCAGCCACTGGCCGGGCATTGAGATTCAGGCCGGGTGAATTGGACGGCCGAGTCTCCGGCGGCCACATATCCAGCGAAGAAAAGGCATCTCAGAACGCGGGGCGTTTCTTTGGGCATTCCATTCAGCAAGCAGAGTTCTACAACCCGCTGATCCTGCAGATGGCCACTGGTTTGCCCTGTAGTTGGGGTTGTGTGGGTTTAATTTAGCTTGTCCCAATTCGCGGTGTCGTTGGGGCAGTAAGTGGTAAGTCGATGCAAGAAATCGACCGGCGTACCAAATCACAGCCAAGTTAATGCAACCTGGAGAATAGATTAGCCGCCTTGCGCTAGCAACCGTTCCAGGCAAATGCAATCTGGATGACCATGGAATAGCGTACACCCCTGAAATCACGGAGCTGGCCCGCCAGTCCGAAGCGCCCCGGCCCCTCATGCTTGCTTCTTAGTCTTCGTTCTGCAGGCCAGGCCAGACTCCCACCGGGGGAAAGTTATTTTCGTGGTCCAGCCCCGGGATTTAGAGAGCAGGTTCACTTGAGGTGGTCCGGGAGGTTCCCATTTCCTTGAAAAGAATGCGCCCAGTTCCTTAGTTTGCGAGGTTCCCGATTTAAATCAAGCTGCTCCTTTTCGCCCATGGCAATTGGGCAAAGAGGTGGGCTACGCTGGTGCGCAGCCACATCGTGGGCGTGAAGATGGCGTCGACGGCGACGGTGAAGGCTTCTGCGGGATCCTGGGGGGTTGGGGGCCAAGAGGCCGCGTTGGCGTCAGGTTTGCAACGCCCATGAGCAACAGTCGAAATGTCGAAATTCTCCTTCATTTGCTTGCCTCCGTTTGGCATTCTTGTGGCGACGTTACTGCGCGCTGGTGTTCTTTCACCTTCCTTCCTTTCTTCCCGCTGGACTATCAAGTTTGTTCGGTGGACAAGAAGTTGCCATGTAAATGATTCTTTTGGCGAGGACTGGTCATGCAGGGGTTCTTCATCTGTCACGCTTGACTTCTCCGAACATGTGCTCGGTTTATGATTGAGATGGTATTTGCCTATTTCACGGCAAGCTACCAGGGGGGGGGGGTACATGAACTGACTATGACTATGATGCAGGTTCTGCTTTATTTGGGAATTGGAATTCTTGCCGTATGTGCAGCTCCCTTTCTGTCCAGCTTCGCAGTTCGGCAGTACCTGCATGGATTCGCTTGTCGGGATCTGGCCAGGTGTCACCGACGTCAGCGACACTTCTGCAGGCCGCTTTGTTTGGTGGGATCCCGCAAGTGGTCAACCCACCACGCAAGAGGGTTCCCTGGTTTCCTATCGGGGTTAGGCAATGGGTTGTTGGAATTACTCGTGAGCAGAACGGAAAGAACCAACAACAAGTTATGATCTAGACCTTCCGACCGTCTTCTGCAGGATGATGTTGTTGAGTTTCATGTTTATTTTCATGGAGTAAAGATAAATGCAGGGCAGCCAATCTTCGGAAACACTTTTCTGGTGTCCTCTTGAGTTTAACTGAAAACTTAAACCATTTGGCCTTGGCCCGGCAACCGGCGATGCATCCATCAAAGGACTGAGAAGCCCGACTCGGTCATGCCCGCGTCGCCATCGTTGACATCATTTTGCATTTGAAGGTTCGCTAAGGACCAAAATGGTAATACAATAGGACCCCCAGTAGTGCCCGTTTACCCTTTTTTTGGGGCGGGTTCCCCCACTAAAATAGACTACAGAGAAAAAGGACACCCTTATTCTGACCTATCTACTGGAGGACCTAGTATAACACCGATATAAGATCATATAGTACGACATTTGGAGGGAGTCCGACCGGATCCGAAGGAAGCGAGCCCGCAGCTCTGCGGGCGGCACTGGAGAAGTTCCTGCGGTCCCAGAAATCTGCCACCCCCGTGGCGCTTCTCGGCACAGACCCTCGAGCCAGAACCTCAGAGGTGAGTGGGACCCCGTAGATCCCTGGTGATGTGCAACTGTTTTGCTACGAATTGTCCCAAAAAAGGGCTCCAAGTAAATTCTCTACAAGGGTCGATCTCTCCAAGAAAAAATATCCAGGTCCAGCAAAGGCTTGCACACGGCTTTGTGTTTGGGTTCGAGAAAAAGTGAGCTGGAGAAAGAGCATGCGGCGAAGCACTTGAATCTTGTGAAATCTGGTCGAAGCCCAGTGTCCATCACCCCCGCAAAGTGCGGGCCCTTGGCTCGTTGAACCCCAAAATGGAAGGTGCCCCTTTAAACAGAGCCGTTGGGGAGATCCCTTGAATTCTAGCTGGAAGGTGTCAAAGACTTCCCTTGCATTGGTTTTGCTATTTAGTGTGTGTGTGTGTGTTCCTCTAAGAATTCTCAGCCCAAGAGGTTGTGCGATGTTGTGGGTTACGGGTGGCGTTTCTTCCAGGGTCGCTGGTTGCATCTGAGGTGCGGGAGCTTTGGAAGCACGTGTGTGCCACCGGCGTGCGGCCCTCTGGCAAGAATGTGCCTCGCAAGAAGCGCGCAGCCTGGCGAGCAAGGGTTCAGCGGGGGGTTGCCATCTGATGGGTACGGAGAATCCCCTTATGGAAAATGGAACCCCAAGAGCCAAAATGTGTAGAGGGACCTCCTTTGGGATGCTTTGTGGGTTCCATGTTAAGCGGGCAAGCAAGAGCCCCGTGAAGTTTTCCCTACAGAATGGGTGACCTTGTGGGGTCTTCATCAACTCGTGGTCAAATAGAAACATGGGTGGGGTGGGACACCAATCATTAGAATTAGAATGGGGTTGTGGGGCACGAGCCAAGCTGAATCATGATCAGACAAAAATAATGTTTGTACTTAATTAGCCCAATTAGTCCTTTACCAACGTTTCCAACAAACATGGAAGTGGACAAGGGGCCTGTTGAACAACATGTTTGTCTTCCGAAACTTTATGGTCCCTTCCATGATAGTGCAAAAAGGGAGGTTGAACCCAAATTGGTGTAAATGCCGGGGCCGAAAGATATTCGCTCCACCATGTCTTGTTTGGTTTGATCGGGTTCCTGTTAGCCCGCATGAACGTAGTTTTCCTGAATCAAAGAGAGGGCTAACATCCGAAGCGCACAATTCAACTCTTGGATTCTTCCTTGGCAGGATCTCTATCCTTGGACTGCGTGCGTAGAGAGGTTGAGTGTTTTCCCGCTGCCCAGCAAGTGAACCTTTGTGCGCAAGGAGCGCAGCCAACCAAACAAACAGCCAACCACGCAGTTGGTTGTTTGCAGTTGTGAAGCCTGTCTGTGTTTCCAAAGCCCCCACAGCATATTTCATGAACACAGGCCATGCTTTCCGGACGAAAGTCGCGACACATGCGGAGCCGAGAGGGGAGCTTCAATCATGAGCTGTTGCCAAGAGCTTGCCCAGCAAAGACTCGTCAACCATCGCCCCCCCCCTACCGCATCCACTTCCCGAGACCATGTTTTCTCAAGTGAGCTTTGCAGCCCATGAATAGTGCTGGTGCTGATGCTGGTGAAATTTGCTTAGTTGGAACAAGGGCCCTTTCTGAGAGCTTCCAATGCTTAAATGCGGCTTTGAGATCAAAATGCAAGAACCTGACACGCATGAGTGACGGCCAACAAATAACCGGGTAGATGATGTCACTCCAGTATCCGCAATCAACATTTATACCCCTAAGTTTGACGGAGGAGCCTTGGCTGAAACTTTCCAGGCTTGGGTTGCCTGGTTAGTTCGTTTCAGTTTTCAAATGGAACAAGGGGGTCCCATTTTCACACACACACACATCCACATTTGCACGGCACCGTGGCGTTCCATTCACAAAATGAGGAGTGGCAAGACAAGCTGAAGTACTTTCTGGCGCATCACCCGGCGGTTTTCCAGCTTGATGATGGTGGGACTGTTCGACTTGTGGATGACAAGGCCTGGGGTCAGCGGGTCAGACTTGGCATCGCCGTGTATTTGGCCGCGTTTCTGAGCAAGTGCTCCCAAAATGATTGCACACTTGTTTTTCCTTTGTCTTAATTTCGGGGCCCGCTGTGTGACATGTGTGTGTGTGTGCTTAACGCCCGTGAAGCTTTGGGAAACTGACCGTTTATGTTACTTTTTGAGGGGTCATTTCCACCAATCCAAATGTATGTTGCATTTTGAGGTGCCATATTGAGAAGGCCTTTGGTTATGAACCTATTCCTCCTGTGACTTTGATTTTCAGCATCCATTGAATTCCACAAGGACGCGTAGCTTAGCTCCCAGGAAAAACGCAACAGCCAAGCCCACCCAACGTGTGAAGGGGGGCGTTCTCTCAGTGAAGTTTGTTCATGCATTTCGGGTGCTAAGTGGTGACGGGCAACACCAGGGCAGATGGCAAGTAGGGAAGAGTCCCAACCATGGTGCAGCCTCGTGGGGCACTTTGAAGCCAACTTCAGTCTCATAAAAGTAGAGGAGTACGTGAGATGATTCTGCGGATTTGGCGAGCTCACAAGGTAAGGCGACCTTGATGTAGGTCCTTTACTTGGCGTTTTGTGTTTGATTTGTGAGCAGTCATTTACCCCGACACTTTTTAGCCCCTTGTGGGTGCCTGGCAAGTCCTTCTGCCAGGACAAGGATGTAGAGGCCCAGGAGCGCGTATTCGCTAGCGCCGCGCGGGTGACTTGCGACAAAAACATGTTCTGAACTTGTGTGTAATGCTTAACCAAAGGCGGAGTAAAGCCAAATTTCTATGTTGCACTTGTACGTTCTAGTTGCCGCCACGTGTTCAAGTCTAAGCGCCTATTGTTAGGTTATTTGGGCAAGAGAGTCACTGCCACTGCCGTCTTCTTGCGCAACATGAGATTCAGAATGCTCATCTCGCCAGCGCTTTGCAGTGGCTCTTTGGCCGCTGCTCCTGAAAGATGAACTCAGAAGGGTAGAAAGTTTATCCCATGCCCAGAGGCCAAATATGGGTCCTATAAGAGCATTCCTTTAGGACTTGGCATAGACGGGTGGGTTGTCCTGCGTCGCAGTGCTTTGATCAGAGACCAGATGCCTCGTTCTGGTAGACAAGCTGTTTCAGCAAGTGCGGTGAGTGCAGTCCAGCGCAGCTTCCCCCGCGGTTTAGTTCTACCATGAGCTGAGCTTGATTGAAAACGCAATGCCAGTGAGTGGAGCTGACATGCATTCATTTGCGTTCAGGCTTGTTTCTCGAGTCAAGCCCGTGCATGCCCATGTCGTGGACCAAGCTTGAAACGTTGTTTGGGGGGATCCATGAGCCCGTGCTGAGCCCCGTTTGCTGCTGTAAGAAAACGGGGTAATCGGTGAACCCCGAGAAGTTACCACTGGCCGACCAACCTCAGCTGGAACTCAGAAGCTGCGCAAACCCCGACGGCCATCTACGGCACAGAGTTAGGTGCTCACGTGGTACCAGTGCATCGGTTGTTTGGTTTTTTGGCTTCTTTCAAAAGGCTAGCCGCGAGGCCCAAGACAAGCCTTGCGAATGTTGGTGGAGCCAAAGATTGAATGCTTCCATTTGCCGGTAGTCCTTTATTCCGTTTGTTGCAAAGGAAGACGTGGGCCTTGGCCTGGCAGCTTGAACATTCACAAGGGTTATTTGGATCCTGGGTGACATTTCGGGTGGCCAAATGGCTCCCCAAATGAACGTGCCAACATGCAACCAAACACGAACCATGCGGGGGGTTCTGTCACATGGATGTTTCTCTAAATAGTCAATGAGCAACATGTCTTTCACATGGAGATTTCGCTGAAGTCGTATGCCAGTTTTCTTGGATGGGTGGCCAGGAGCGCGCGGAAGGCTTTGCGCAGCTCCGCTCGGCCTTGGAGGAGCCGGGCCGGTGGGGATCCGTCTTGGCGACGGTGCGTCCAGGTCGAAAAGTCAAGGGAGGGAGCAATTCCAGGGGTTTAGTCGTGCTGTTTTGGGTTGTTTTGCCAAACCCAGAACAATGGGATTAAGCAGGGGGTGCAAGGTGAAAATCCCATTCCGCAGTGTCAAGTCCACAATCAAGTAGTGTGTTCCTGGGCTCCCACTGTTTCTGTGGCCTGGCACCTGCTCTTCTGTTGGGGTGGGTTTTGAGGACAGTTGAGGATGACTTCAAGCGAGCGTGTGAGCAGGGCTCATGACATTTATGTGAGAACCGAGGCCGCTTTGGCGGGTCGTGTAAGTCAAATGCCTACGTGTCCAGGCAAGGCGGAGGACCAAGCCTAGCTCCCCATATCGTCCCATATGGATGGCCTTTCAAAACGGTGCAACATGCGCGCATGCCTGCTTGCTGCTTGGAAAAGGGCCAGGAAAACCAGTTTGGGTTTCTTCGCGTGTTAGGCAGTCTGCCTTTTATCGGCTGTCGGAGTCCTGCAGTCAGGTATTTTGTTTGTTTGCTGGTGTAGCTGAAGAGCCAAGAGGAACAGCACAGTGAAATTTTTGGATGTTTAGGCAAAGGGCCTTGGGGTCGATGTTCAAAATAAAATGGGGGGGGCCTGGGGTCTTGATACACGACCTCATTTTATTTGGCTCGGAGGGGTTGGGCCCCTCGAATCTATTTCAGTTTTAGGTTTTTTCCGGGGGATGGCCAAGGGGCGGCTAAGGGGTCCAGGGTTTACGTGGGTCTGGGCCCCCCCCATTTTATTTCGTGGGAACATGGAGTATTTTCGCTTAGATGTGTCTAGGGGATTGCCTCGTTTGTTGCGAAGCTTTTGCCGGCATGGTCATGTTGGCTCCTGGTCCTTCTATCGTTCTGGCACACAACGCGATCCTGGGCACGGAGCCTCAACTTGGGACAGGACTGGGAGGGCTCGAGTCAGCTCAAAGCCCCAAACCAGGGTTCAGGGGAGGCCTCGGGCTTCTCTCTATTTCTCTCTGCACGGAGAAGTTGCTAGTGCTATTTGCGCACATTCGAGAACTTTGGCCTCGGAAGCAACTTTGATGTTAGTAGACCAAATGTTCGTTTGGGGAATCCGGTAAGCATACATACAACATGATGGGTACGACAAGTCCGACAAATTCACTTTCGACTTTTGACGAGGGAGCAAAACGCGCCACGTGACAGAGAGAGAGAGAGAGAGAGAGAGAGAGTGAGAGCGTGGCGCGGCGACGCGCCCCACAAAAAAAATGCATACATTTGGCCTCAGTGCATGTCAAAATTGGCCTCAGTCGATCCGGGAATTGCACGAAATCACGCTGGGGCAGGCTAACAGCCGGTATCAATAAAGTCATGGAGTCCGACAATTCTAACGTTGTCCTGAGAGGCCTACCAGGCCTACAAAGGCATGTTGGTAAATATGACACACGCGACCTTTGCTCGAAACAACGTCCAAGCCCCCCCCCCTCCAAACCCTGGCTTGGAGCCAAAGAAACATGCTGTCCGACGTCCCTCCAAAGTTCCAGCAGAGGACATGGGCTTATTGCTTTAGGAAAATTGAGTGCTGTTGTTTGTGAGTCCTCTTTGCTTTTTCCCATCCGTCGCTTAACAAATCTTGCTCGCAAACCCCAGAAGAGAAATGAGGGGCCCTCTCCGGCAGTGCGGCATTCGCGCAGCCATTTTGGCTTCTTTTTTTTGGGTGCAGGGTGTTCACGCAGGGCGGGATGGAGGGGCCAACGGCTCCGTCCATCTGCGCTCGAAACCCAGTGGCTTGCGCGCAGCATTTCATTGCATGTTCGTCACCGTGGCCTTTCTTCGCTGAGGGCATTCGCGGCTGCACGGAGAGATGCGAGGGCATCCGCTGGGACGATGCCATGAAAGCGTGGCGTGTCCGGCGCCGACCTCGGACCTTGGTTATGTGCGCATTTCTTCACGCTTCTTCATCGTAGGCTTGCGCGCGCGTACGTCTTTATCGTGTCGGCATGTGCTTCAAGGTGACCGTCACAATGAGTGGCGCCACGCGCAAGTCGTGGCACGAAGCCTATGCGCGCCAACCTTAGACACGTGCTGGGTCCATGAAAGTGAGCTTTGTGTTTCTTTGGGTTCCCCAAATTACTTCGGGGGCGCAGATGCCTAAGGTTCGGGACGGGCTCGCCCTGGGTGTGGGCGACACGGCCTCCGAAGCAGTCCAGGGTGCTGGAGGAGAAGAAGGTATGGGAGGCAGGCTGAGTAGTGTCAGGTCACACTGAGTGGCGTTGTTCTTGGCCGCTTCCTAGGCAACGCAAGCCAAGCAAACCAAGCAGGCTTGGTCGTTAGGTCGATCTTTCATCAGCACGATGTAGCTCTGCTCAACAGGCTTCAGATCTTGTGGCAGTTGCAGAGGCCAGGACCGAATTGCTTCCTTAGCACATACTCACAGTCTGTGGTTTTGCTGAGGAGTCCCTGAGAAGGCAAGGAGGCCAGGCCGGCACGCGTCACCGAGCCCTTTCACGAGACTGGAGGCCAGGCCCTCGCGCGCCAGTGTCCTTTTTGCTTGCTCACGCCTGGCCGCCTGGCTGAGGTGCTTGGAGACGCGCGGCAGTTCCTTGGGACCGGGCAAGACCCAGAGACACCTTGTCGCAGTGGACTTAGCAACCACTCTGCTGGCACAACACCCCCCCTTGACGAAGCTTCGCAGGGAAGTGGTTGATTTCAACGCACAGGCCCTTCCAAAGTGGGCTCGCACAACTTCAGCGGCGCATCGCCGAAGCAAGAACACGCTGCAGGCCTGCTTTGGACTTGCCATGTTGGTGGGCGTTTGCTTGTCGGAGCCCAGGTGCAAGCCAATCGTTTGTCCTTTCGAGAACCCTTGGCTGGGGTCGGCTTTCACCACCGCACCCCTGAATATATCCAGGTAAATGGGTGGCTGACTGGGTGCTCTAGACAGGTGGCTCCGTGGCAGAGAATGGCTTGGTCTCCGTTGGGGAAGAACAACCAGGCCTGCCGTGGTTGGGTGGAGTGGTGGGTGGCTTCATTTCGGCTTCGCTGTGACCCAGTTTAGACCAAGTTGAGACCTCGTTGTTTGGGGGGCTTTGTTTAACGCGTCCCCCCTTGGTTTGACACGCCCTTTAGAGGGCCTGTTTTGACAGAAAAGGGACTCTCGTACTGACACACAGCTCGGGAAGCCAAGGGGGTTGGTGCCAGTCCCATTTGACTTTGGCGATGTCGATGGCCGGTCGTCCATCGACGCAAGCTGCCTACAGGGAAAAGTCATGACACGTACGAAATCGACAGTGCATCAGCCCCAAACTGTCGATGGCCGGTCGTCCGTCGACAATACCTGTCTACTGGGGGAGCGCTCGAGAACAGTTTTTTTTTTAAAGCTGCTTCGCTGGGCTTGCCATGTTGGTGGGCGTTTGCTTGTCGGAGCCCAGGTGCAAGCCAATCGTTTGTCCTTTCGAGAACCCTTGGCTGGGGTCGGCTTTCACCACCGCAGAGAACCTGACACCCCTGAGTATATCCAGGTAAATGGGTGGCTGACTGGGTGCTCTAGACAGGTGGCTCCGTGGCAGAGAATGGCTCGTCTCCGTTGGGCAAGAACAACTAGGCCTGCCGTGGTTGGGTGGAGTGGTGGGTGGCTTCATTTCGGCTTCGCTGTGACCTAGTTTAGACCAAGTTGAGACCTCGTTGAGACCAAGTTGTCGTGGCCGCCTGGGGGGATGCGAGAATCTAGTTTGGGCGCACTTTGCAGAGGATGCCCCCAAAAGTCCTAAAAGTGCCACCACATCGTTGTCAGGTTTGGGGGGCTTTGTTTAACGCGTCCCCCCTTGGTTTAAGTTGAGACCTCGTTGAGACCAAGTTGTCGTGGCCGCCTGGGGGGATGCGAGAATCTAGTTTGGGCGCATGCCCCCAAAAGTCCTAAAAGTGCCACCTCATCGTTGTCAGGTTTGGGGGGCTTTGTTTAACGCGTCCCCCCTTGGTTTGACACGCCCTTTAGAGGGCCTGTTTTGAAAGAAAAGGGACTCTCGTACTGACACACAGCTCGGGAAGCCAAGGGGGTTGGTGCCAGTCCCATTTGACTTTGGCGATGTCGATGGCCGGTCGTCCATCGACGCAAGCTGCCTACAGGGAAAAGTCATGACACGTACGAAATCGACAGTGCATCAGCCCCAAACTGTCGATGGCCGGTCGTCCGTCGACAATACCTATCTACTGGGGGACCGCTCGAGAACAGTTTTTTTTTTCAGCTGCTTCGCTGGGCTTGCCACGCTGATGGGCGTTTGCTTGTCGGAGCCAGGCGCAAGCCAATCGTTTGTCCTTTCGAGAACCCTTGGCTGGGGTCGGCTTTCACCACCGCAGAGAACCTGACACCCCTGAATATATCCAGGTAAATGGGTGGCTGATTGGGTGCTCTAGACAGGTGGCTCCGTGGCAGAGAATGGCTCGGTCTCCGTTGGGCAAGAACAACCAGGCCTGCCGTGGTTGGGTGGAGTGGTGGGTGGTGGCTTCATTTCGGGTTGCCACGGGTATTCCACGGGCTCTCTCCCAATTTCCACGGGGTCCCCAACTTTCCCCCGCCAAAGCCTTCGAAAAGTGTCGTGCCTGGCGGTTTTCCCCAAAACACCTGCCAAGTCCAGCTTACACATGCAACATGACGTTCCAAACTCCCGTTTGCAGGGCCTGCAGCATGGCATCTACTTTTCTGCTTGTACACCCTGTATACCATGTGGCAATGGAGCATTCGCGGGTCATACATGGGCCATGCCTGAACATATCCCCCAACACAAGCCTTCTCCAGCGCTCCAGCGCTCATGTTTGAAAGGCATGCCCGTTTGTAGTGTGCAAGCATGGTCGTTTCAGGCAGAAAAGCCCGGGAACGGCCTGAAAGGTATCGGTGCTGAAAACACGATGTTTTTTCAGGGAAACACGATGTTTTCGTGGCATATCCCTAAAAACACGATGTTTCCACCAGGACACGACGAATTTACA